ACAATTAGCGATTAGACACCCCTCACGTTTCCATCTTTTCTCTTTCCAGCACGAATGTCGAAGGGACACGCGTCCACTGTCTTGCACACCCAGCGTCGCAATTTTCCACTAGAATTTGCGAGTGCAACCTGGAAACCTTGTTGCAGCGCAAATTCACGAACGTTACTCGCAATTTGAGCCCACTCTGTGAAGAATTCATCACAAACCGTCAAGCCCAGTACGGACGCTGCGGCATTCGCTGATACGGCGAATGGTGTGCATACGCAATTCATAATCCTTTGGATTATGAATATGGCAGGGATGGGTGAAACATGGTGGTCGTTGGGCATGGTGGCGGCGGCGACATGGTAATCGTTGGGCTCGGCGTTGACGCCGATTATGTGGGCGTTGGGCAACGTGGCGACGATTGCGTGGTGGAAGTTGGGATGGGTGGCGGCGCCGACATGCTGGTCGTTGGGCTCGGCGTTGACGCCGACTTTGTGGGCGTTGGGCAACGTGGCGACGATTGCGTGGTGGACGTTGGGATCGGTGGCGACGCCGACATGGTGGTGGTTGGTCCGAGTGGCGGCGCCGACATGGTGGTCGTTGGGCAGGGTGGCGGCGGCGACATGATGGTGGTTGGTCCGAGTGGCGGCGGCGACATGGTGGTCGTTGGACGGGGTGACGGTGACGACATGGTGGTGGTTGGTCAGAGTGGCGGCGCCGACATGGTGGTCGTTGGGCTTGGCGTTGGCGCCGACATGGCGTCTGTCGGTCAGGATGACCCCGTGGATGTCGTCGTCGTTGTACTGGACGGCCCGAAGACTGCCCTGACCAACGTCGGAAGTACCTGAAAGGTAACTTGGGAAATGACGGCTGAGCAAGCCGCCAGAGAGGGGGGTCTTTTCACGTTGGTTCGTGATGGCGGGCGACATAGCGAGGTCGCTTGGTGGCATGGGCAACGGAAGCATCGTTAACTCTTTAACTGCCTTATCTCAACAAAACTTCGAAAAAACTTCGATCGAAGTTATGGAGGACTTGCGAGAAGGACAGTTCTCAGAAACAGGACTCACGAGAAGGATTTTCTGAAGAGACCGGAATACCTTATTGTACGACCCGAGAGTTTCCGCTTGTTCACTGACCACCGCAACCTCGTTTGCAAGTTTAACCCTTTGGGTTACAACTCCAACGTGGCCAAGTACGAGGAACACAAGCTCCAGTGTTGGGTGCTGATGATGTCGACGTTTCCTTACGTCGTCGAGTATGTGGCCGAGGAAGACAACCTGTGGGTGGACCTCCTACGTCGATGGGGGAATCCTACGGTTGTTGCCGGGGGCATTGGTACTGCGACTGGGAGCGTCGAGGTCGAAGGCCGTGGAGCTAGGTTGAGAAACTGGCGTTAGTATCCCCTGTACACGATGACTTCGTCTGGCCGACGGCCGAGGTGATTACGGCACTACAAGGAGATTATTGGGAAATTGAAGCTGCTGCTTTGTATAGTGCAAAGAAGTAGTGTTCTGTGACGCCGTTGTGGAAGATCTGGATCCCGGACGACGCCCTCGATATGCAAATGCGTATCTGTGTGATGGCTCATGCCGGGGTCGCTGGCCACCAGAGAGTTGAAGCAACCACGGCATCCGTCGCCGACATGTTCGAGTGGATGTCTTCTTAGACCGATGTCAAACGTTTTGTCGTCGCATGTTTGCATTGCGTGGTGGTCGACGGAGAAATCATCCTCCGTCCTTGTGGTGAAGCATTTCATGCGACGAAGCGTAATGAGCTTATTCATTTCAACTGGTTGTCGCTCCCGTCGTCCGGAGACGGGTTGAAATATGTCCTTGTGGTCAAGGATGACATGAGCGGGTTTGTCCGTTTGCATGCCAGCACGTCTGCCACCACCGCGGCGACAGATGCTGTGCTGATGGAGTGGTTTCGTCTGTTTGGTGTTGTGAAGACGTGGGTGTCTGACTGTGGGTCGCATTTCAAAAACGAGATCATCCACAAAGTCTCCCCGCCGTTCAGTGCGCACCATGATTTTGTTACGTCACATTGTCCGCGGGCGAGCGGGACTGTTGAAGTAGTCAATCGGGCCATTGTCCGGACCCTGAAGACACTTTGAAGTGAAGTGCGTTTGGAGCTGGGAGCATGGCCCTCAACTCTACCTCTAGTTCAATGTGCTTTGAACCAGCAACCGTCTGACCGTTTGATGGGGATTGTCCTTGTTACGACCTCTACAGGACTCCCGCGACCCCACCCTTGACTGGTGGTATTGTACACCCCAAGGAAGTCCGGTTGTTGGAGATTGCTGGGTCAATGCTGAGGTGAAGCGTCATGTCGACGAACTGGCAACAGCCTTGGACTCTATGCACAAAAATGTCGCTGAAATTACTGCTGCGGACGTGCTATGGCGAGGCTTTGGGTTGATGTTATGCTCTTTTTCTACGTATAATGAGTGAATATGTGTAGACCGACAGGGACGAAGTAGGCAAATCGAGACGTGAATTGATTTGTTTAATAAACTCCTTTCATGTGTTCAGTTGTTCTTCCTACTGGCGCTTGCAGGACGAGCTTCAACCTCGTACTTCAGCGACGCTACGCCGTCGCTGGCAGACATCAACGATGCAATGATGAACTAGTACTGTAAATCACAATCATGACCATGACCTTTCGTCACCGAGTTCTTCGCTTCCGGATCCGGATGATCCGTCTTCATGGAGCGCGGGAAATTTCAACAATGCAAACTACAAATGATGAGGCAGTTGTATGCAGCGAAGAGGTGCGATGAATATGCTCAGTATGGGGAGTCCTCGAAGAGGGCATGTTGCTCGAAGGCATAACTAGCCGTGGCGGCATCCTTGATGTGTCAGAGAAATGAATTGGATCGACATTCCGTTCATAGGAAGCATCCAGAAGTTGCCAAGACGAAGACGCTGCACGCCATAGAGGCGCTGGGAAAGGATGCCGCCCTGTAGGCACAACGCAATTTGATTGGCTGCTTTAAATTGATTCTAAATCTATGATTGGTCAACTCGAATGACAAAATTCCTTATTGGAACCATTCCAGAAGGTGGAGAAAGGAGGACAACACCAAGCGACGAAACGATGGAACTGAATACGATGCATGACTCGGACGTGTCGTCCACGCTCCTTGAGCAAGATCATCATGTGGAAGATCTCTCGCTGGAAGATGTGGGCGGTCTTGACCATGACGACGTGACAATGCCAACCTTGACGACGGTGGTCGCGTCCACATCTCCGAAATCTGGCAGTGACTTGTCATGGTTGCGCCGCCTGGAGCGGGAAATGGACACCAAGCTGCTCTTGGATGCGGAAAAGATTAACGAACGCATTCAGCGTCGCAAAGCTCACGAAGAGGAGATGCAGCAATCACTCGCCACCTTTACCTCGTCCGGTCGGCTATCGACGTCGTCTTCTGCGGCAGCTCCAAGCGTTCACTCATCCACTAAATCCAGTGCATCGTCGATCTCAAACATCAATATGTCGACGGACTCTACAAATGGCCCCCACCGGCGAGTCGCGCCGGCGACACAAACACATCAACCACTGGACGAGTGGAAGGAAGCATTCACGGAGGATGGAAAGAAGTACTTCTACAATCGCCGGACCCGAGAAACTTCGTGGACATGGTACGAATCGTCTCTTTCCTATGTTTTATTTCAATGCCTTCCTAGCCCCGAGAACGCCATTGTCGTCAATCGGTCCGACGTTGCAGCACCCAAGTCTATGTCCACCGACTTCGCCGTCGACACTTCCACCGTCGCCGGCGTGAATCCCTCGCCGGCCACTTTGACGATGCAACAGGCCAACAAGACCATGTATTGCATGTTCTGTGGCATGCAATGCCGTGTGTGGGAGCTCATGCCTCACATGACCACATGCGATCTGCTTCGTACACACAAGGAACAGCGCACAGCCATGTACGAGGAAGCCGTGGACATTGCAAGTGAGTTGTTTGTCAAGCAAACTAGTGATGCCGACACCCAGACGAGCGACCGGTACCTGCACTACGCATCTGTGTACTCTGTGTACCACGGCGCCGACAACAATGGCCACGACTCGAGCATCGAGAAACCACATGGAGACCCCCTGGTTTTGCTCAAGCAGCGTCGGCGTCATACTCTCCAGCCGACGACGCGCGACAAGTCCGATCGGGTTGAGGGTAGCGACGATGTCATGACGATGCATGTGGATCTGAACACAAAGTTGAGCCTATTGCGGCTCAAGCAGACGACGGACGCCGCCGCGCAGTCCCGTCGGCAAGATGCGATTGAGCAATGCAGATACTGCCACCGCAGCTTTGCCGAGGTATATGCATGTCATCGTGAGTTGGTCTCGATTGACTTGGCTGTCGTTGGAAAGGGTCGATTGAATAAACACGAGGCAGTGTGTCCGCGCGTATTCGGCACGGAAACAACATGGAACAACCACCACGCGTCCAAGAAAGATGCGGTGAAGCAAATGGCCAAGCCGTCCACTACAAAGCGACCCAAGGCGCCCCATAGCACAGGCGGGCACTTGTCCAAATCGAGCTTGGCTGGGTCATTCCTCGAGTACCAAGCGACGTTGGTTACGTGTCCGTGCTGCCAGCGAAAGTTTGCACCGTCGGGGGCGCAGCAGCACATTGAAATCTGCCAAAACGTCGAGAACAAGCCCAAGAAGATGGTGCCCAAGTCGTTTGCGATCGCTGGATAAACGCACACGTACGGAATGTATATAGAGTATTTATCTTGGCTGCATGCATCGACTGCTACGGACGGAGCCCGGCCTGCGCCTTTTCTCGAATCTCTTTGCGGATCTTGGGGTAGTCGGGGAACTTATCGAGCACCTTTTGAGACACATCGATCGCCTCGACAAACCGCTTTGCCTTGAGGTAGTTGAACGCGAGCTTGAACCCGATGGGGGCCGACGCTTCGCCGCCGCACTTCCACGCCTCGTGATAGCAGTCGGCTGCGTCCTGGTACGACTGTTCCTTCTCCATGATAAGCCCCAGGAGCTCCCACGCCTTGCCCGAACTCTTGTTGTGTTGGAGCGCCTTCTTGCACAGCTCCTGCGCCAAGTCGTACTTAGACCGGCTCACGTAGATGTCAGCGAGCAAGATGTAGCTCCGTTCGAATTCGTCTGCGATTGTCGAGTCGTAATTCATCTTGGCGATGCGTTTGAGCTGGTTGCGCGCCTTGGGTTGTTGTTTCGCCAGCATGTAAGCCGTCGCCAGGGCTACCATTGCAGCAGCGAATGTGATGAACGAAAAAAATCTTGGGAGGTCGGTCTTTCATTACCGAGCAAGGCGGGGACGTTGTCGCGGTCCTCTTCGAGCAACTCAAGTAACGTCGCTGTCGCCTTTTCGACCATCGCCTTGTTCTTGGCCGACATGGCCGCATAACACTCGAGGACGCGAATGCGCATCGTCTTCTCCGGCGCGAGTTCGTCCAGAAGAGCGTTTGCAATGCGGATGTTCTCGACTTGGTCTTTCGTCGCCTCCTGCGGACAAGGCGTCAACATCTCCATTTGAATCGACTTCTCGATCGTACGTCTGGGTTGTCCCACAAATTTTCATTGTCCGGATTGATGTAGATCTCAACCATATGGACGAGGGCCCGCTGGCCCCACTCGCTGTCCTTTCGTGCAAAGTTTAGCTCTTGGATCGCGTCGTGGATGTTGTTTTGGAACCGATGGTAGAGCCCTTTGCAGTAGTGGAGGCCGGCGGAGTGAGCGACGCGTGGTCCAGCTCGTTCTGCGAGCTTGAGGAACCGCGGCACACGGTCCAGCTTGCCAGCTTGGCGCAGCATCACGATAAACCGGCTGAGCACGGTAAAGTTGTCGGGTTTGCTTTCGAGCAGCTAGACCAAACACACAACAATCATTTCAGCTAACATGAATGGACGGCCAGCGAGTCGTCGACGTACGTTCTGAAAGTGAAAGATGGCCGACTCGTTGTCGTCCTTTTGAAGCATTATGTCGGCCAGCATCATGGCAGCTTCTTCATGCGCAGGATTCAAACGCAACAGCGTCGAGCACTTGATCTGGCATTGCTCGAGGTTTTGTTGCTGGTTGTAGATGCGAGCGAGGCACAAGATCGCTTCTTCGTGGGACTCGTTGGCCCGGAGCGCCATCGTGCAGTACTTCATCACGTTTTCCCTGTGGCAACAACACAGTCGTCAGGCATCGAGCGGTGGTACGGCCAGCATACGAGTCTTTCTTGGTAGCGTAGATCTGGGCGAGTTTGAAATTCGTGTTGGCCAGTTGGTTGGTTTGCCGGAAAATTTCGTCAGGCTGCTCGTCGCGGAGCTTATCGAGGACGACTTTTTGCATCGCGATGACCTTTTGCAGCCGGTCGATGCATTCGTCCTTGCGGTCGAGCCCGTTGTAAATGTCGGGGAGGATCATTTGGAGGTTGATGTCGTCCAGCATGTCCTTGATCTCCGTGCGGGCCGGGGCCGCCGGCGCCGCGTTCACGACCCGTAAGGCCTGATCGAAATGCGACAGCTTAGCCAGCAAACTCGCCAAGTCGCGACGGAGCGGCGTTTGGTCCGGGGCGGCTCGCAGCGCTGTCTCGTAGTATTCGATGGCGGAAATGTAGTCATGTTTCTTGACGAGGATGTGGCCGATGCGGCTCGCGAGCGAGGCGTCGTTGGGACTGAGCACGAGCGCCGACCGGTACGACTCGATCGCATCATCCAGCTGCTGGATGCGCAAGTACGCTTCCGCCAAGCGAATTAGCGACTCGGCCGTCGGGTTGAGGCGGACGAGTTCCTGCAAGGCGGCACATCATGCCTGTCAGTCGAGGTCTGTCGCCACAACGGAATGGCTTCGCACCTTGTAGCACTCAGCGTACAGCTGCTTTTCCTTTCGATGCTGCAAGTAAATGTCGGCCTTGATCATTTGCGCTTTGATGTACGCTGGCGACTCCTTCAAGACCAGGACATCGGTCAGGTCGCATTTTTGTATCCTGTCGCAGCCGTGCTCAATACCTGCGGCACGTTATTGAGCATGACGATGGCATTGTCAAAGTCGCCGCGCTTAATGGCCAACTCGCTGTTTGCGACCAAGACACGAACTTCTTGCGTCGTGCCCCTAGAATGGAATCCATGAGGAAATCGACTTCATCATGCGTGGACAACGCGTCGTACTTGAACACTTGGAGTGCTTCTTTCACCAGTCGCGTGGCTTCGCCAACGTTGTTGAGCTGGGCTTGAACCGTGGCCATTTGGATGTAAATCGATGCTTTATCAAACAAAGTCATGTCGGTGGCGGGTGGGGCGGCGGTCGTGGCGCTGGAGCGTTTGCCGCCTTTACTGGCATTGGTTGCCGTCGACGACGACGACGACGTCGTGGCCTTCATCGCGTTCTGAAGAATCGCGAGCGCTTCCTTCAAGTTGCCATCATTCTCCATCAATTTTGCCTTGATGATATGGAACGACGGCGACTGGCGCACAGAAAAGTCGTGGCTGAGCGCTTGATCGAGACTGCTCGATGCGGCTTTGAAATGCTCGCGTTCCAAGCAAATGCGCGCGACGAGCAAATGCGCATGCGAGTGCACGGGATTCATCTTGAGGATCGCGTTGCAAATTCGGTACGCGTCGTCAAAGTCGTTGGAGCAAAACTTGGTGTTGGCCAGGATAAATTGTATCTCGATAAACCCGGGCGACTTGTTCACGAGCTTCTCCAGGATGGACACCCCGCGCGACGCCATGCTCTTGCTGTCGTCGAGGCCGTCCAGCTTGATGAACTCGGTTGCAATTTCGACCAGGAACTGCGGGTTCAGCATGCTCATCATGTCGTACGTGGACAGGTCCCCCGTCTACCCCAGAACCCGTGGCTATCAATCGCTGTAATGGCAGCACACCCCACCTGGACGACATCCTTCAGTTTGTCCATGTGGCACTGCACGGCGGACTGCAAATACTTGACTTGCTTGACGCGGTCACCATCCTTGTGCCAGCTCAGCATCGCTTGGAGCAGCACAAAGTCGGCACTGGCGTTCCCGATGCTCTCCTGAATCACGCTAAGAAACTCCATTTGCTGCGCCGCGTCGTCCACTTGGCCAAGCTTGATCTGGCAATAGATGAGCCCATGCAGCGCCGACTCGTTACTTTCGTCCAGCTTGAGCGCTTCCTTGTACGACTCGATCGCTTCAGAATAGTCGCCCATGAGGGACCGTTGGTACCCTCGTTCGGCGCGAAACGTGCTACACAGTGCACAACGTCGGAGGAAAGGATTGCCTGGGGGAGTTCCTGAGGGCATACCCGCAGTCCGGCGACAGCTTGACGGCTTGGTCGACGAAACACAAGTTGCACGACAAGACTTCCTGGTTCTTGTCGGAAATACGTGCGATGCATCGTCCAATGTCGTAAAAGAGCTGCGGGTTTGACGACTCTGTCGATGACAGCGCCTTCATCAAGTCTCTAAACACGGCGATGGATGGGCATCATCATCGACTTGATGCATGGATGGATTGTCGGTTGTACCGAATGCGATTTGCAGCTTCCTTTGGGCGTCCTTCCCGGGTCAACAAGTAGAGAATCAGCAACCGCAAGGCGTCGATGTCGTTCCTGATGGACGTCGTAATGGTGAGGGCAGGTCGACATTTGCATGAATGGATGGCGGCAGGGACGTACGAGCTGTTGGCCAGCGCACGCTCAGCGCTGTCGACGCACTGGTCCCATTCGCCAGTCTTGAGTAGCACGAGCGCTTTCTCACTCAATGCTTCTTTGAACCACGTGTACTTGACAATGATCTAGACGTCGAGCCAACGTCAGCGGCAAGAGGCAGTCGCCAGCAAAGCGACCTCGTCGTAGCATTCCAATGACTTGGAATACGCTCGCTTCATGTCGTGGTACTTGGCAACCCCCAAGAGCTGCTCGGGGTCGTTAGCGCTACGATTTCTTCGTAAGTTATGCGTGGTGGCTTGCCGCACTTGTATACCTCTTGACTTCGGTGAAAAACGAAATGCTGTTGTCTCGGAGCTCCGTGTCGCGCTTGGTTTTGGGCTCGGCCGTCAGGTCGATCCACCCGCGCAAGATGGTGGCTTTTACTTGAATCGGTGTCGTCGCTGCAATTCGGCCACCCATCAGCGATTCGAGGGTCTTTCTAGCTTTGCTGTACTCCTTGATATGCCAGAAGAAGTTGGCGCACTAGACGACAGACGCGCCGTGAAATCTCCCGCACAACTAACTATCATGATGAATGTAACTCAAGGACTTACCAAGAGTTGCGCCGTCTCTCCCGCACTTTCTTCGGCAATCACTACTTGCATCTCAAGCTGTGCTATTTCTTCGTGGTCCACGTTCTTGCACTTGTTGTGGGCGAAAATGAGCGCGTGGATGCACGGAAGTTCCACCTCCTTCTTCTTCTTGAGGCTCTCGAGCTCCCGGATCGCTGACGATTGACTGCCTTCCATCGCAATGCCAAAGCACCGCCAGAACGAGATGACAGGGTCGTTTCCCTTCTTATCCAGGATGCTTTCGCACAATCGCTGGACATGGTCGAACCACCCCTTGCGAATGTAGTAATTGATCAATACGCTCGGCTCCATCGCCGCCGCTGGTGTGCTCATGTTCACTAGATCCACAAATCGAAATCATGAAAGGTCACGAGATTTGGTTGCGCCGGATTGGTTGTTTTTTGTCCAATAGAAACGCGTTCTGGCACACTTTCAAATTTTCTCAGCACTGCATGCATGGCTTGACGACGATCAAGCAAGACTGAAGGGAAGGTAGAAGCGCGCAAGGTTAGAACAAGAAGTACTTCTGCGAAAGAGGAAGCCAAGTGGACGGCAGACACGTCAGCACTTCGCCATCCACCGTGACTTGGTACGTCTCCGGGTCCACTTCGATCTTGGGCAGCGCGTCATTCCACTTCATGTGTTTCTTGGTCAAATTCCTGCACTTCGTCACGGCTTCGATGCGTTTCCCCAGTCCATACCCTTTGGCAATCTGCTTTTCCTTGCACGCACGACTGACAAATGCAATGGACGTCCCACCCACTGCCCTTCCATTTGCACCAAACATCGGTCGCATCCTCACCGGCTGTGGCGTCGGAATCGACGCGTTTGGATCCCCCATTTGCGAGTACACAATGGACCCTCCCTTTAGAACGAGCTCAGGTTTCGCACCAAAGTGATCGGGCTGCCACAGCACGAGATCCGCCAACTTCCGCACTTCGACCGACCCAATCCAGTCAGCCATCCCATGGGCAATCGCTGGGTTGATCGTGTACTTTGCGATGTACCGTTTCACGCGCAAGTTGTCCGTCTCGGTTTCAGCGTCTTCCGGGAGGAATCCGCGCTGCCTCTTCATCTTATCGGCGGTCTGCCACGTCCTCGTGATGACTTCGCCGATGCGCCCCATCGCTTGCGAGTCGGACGAGATGATGCTACCATCACGCACGCCGCCATTGGATTCATGTACTTGCATTCCATGCATCCCACCTGATAGCGCCGATGTCGTGCAAGATATCTTCCGCTGCAATTGTTTCCTCCCGAATGCGCGACTCGGCAAACGCCACGTCCTCGGCAATGCTCTTGTCCAAGTGATGGCACACCATCTACGCAATAGCAAATTTCAATTCACATCGTCCACGCCAGCTCCATTCCAACCAGCATGTCGACGTGCTCTTCGATCGTGTTGACTGTGAATGGCCGCGTTGGGTTCGTGCTCGACGGCAGCACATGAAGCTCACCGCACACGGTGATGATATCGGGCGCATGACCGCCGCCGGCGCCTTCGCTGTGATACGTGTGGATCGTGCGATTTCCAAATGCGGCGATCGTTTGCTCCACGCAGCTCGATTCGTTCAACGTGTCCGTGTGGATGGTGACTTGGATGTCGTTGGCGTCGGCTACATCCAACGCAACATGAATCGACGACGGCGTCGTCCCCCAGTCTTCGTGGAGCTTGAGCCCGACTACGCCAGCATTCACGACATCCTGGAGACCTATGGGAGACGCGGTGTTTCCTTTGCCTGTGAAGCCAATGTTGAGCGAACACGCGTCCGTGGCTTGCAGCATGCGCTTGACGTGGTCTGGGTGCGGCGTGCATGTGGTGGCCTTTGTGCCTGTTGCTGGACCCGTGCCGCCGCCCACAAGCGTCGTAAGCCCGCTGCGCAAACCACCTTGTCAACTCGCGAGAGGACAATCCTTTACCTGGAAATGGCTTCGTCGAACAGCTGCGGGCAAATGAAGTGGACGTGGGTGTCGACCCCCCCCGCTGTCACAACCAAACCCTCGCCGGCAATCACTTCAGTATTGACGCCCACGACCATGTCGTCCTGTACTCCATCCATCACGTCCGGGTTTCCCGCCTTTCCAATCGCCCAAATGACCCCGTGTTTGATTCCAATGTCTGCCTTGTACACGCCCGTGTAGTCGACAATGACGGCGTTCGTGATGACAGTGTCGAGCACTTGGTCGGCATGGCATCCCGTGGCTTGCCCCATGCCCTCCCGAAGGACCTTGCCTCCGCCAAACTTGCCTACCGACAAGTAAAAGTGCCACCGCATGCGAGTGGTTTGCAGCACTGTACATTCATCGCCGTAGACAGTGAAGTCCATCTCGACGTGGACGACCAAAGAGGTGTCCCCCAGACGGATGCGATCGCCGGTGGTCGGGCCATACGTTCTCGCGTACGTTTGCCGGGACATGATACATGGTGGCGGGCGACTCTGCAATTCCTCGTCGGTCGGATCGATCGGCGTGTGCAGGAACCCTCGGCCCACCAAGGTAGATACGATGCCATCGATGGACGCCTGGTCAACAGGTCCCGTGGCGACGTTATTACCTCCAGAGATGACGCGATGTCCCCCGATGGGGACGATAGACACAGTCTTCACGTCCCCCGGCTACAACAACATCAGAATGAAACAGGCTCAGTGACTGGAACACCTCGAAACGGACGGCTGTTCCGGCAGGAATGTTCAAACGATGACCGTACGCTCGGCGGCGATCCATGTCCAAGATCGGATTGGTTTCAATCAAGTGGAAGTGACTCCCCACTTGAATTGGTCGGTCCCCCATGTTTTTCACAACCAAGCGCTGAGGCACTCGCCCGCCATTGAGTTCAATGCCATTTTCATCGTCCACCACAATGATTTGCTTGTTGAGGTCGACGGAGGGTTCGGCAGGACCAAACGATTCGAGAGACGGCACGGGGAAAAACGACCCGTATAACGCCAACGACATGTCCCCATCGACGCGACAAATGGGGTTATGCACTGTCACAAGCTTGGTCCCATCGGGAAACGTTCCTTCCACTTGCACATCGTGCAGCATCGCAGACACACCGTCCATGACTTGGCGAAGACCAAGCATTGCCTTCCCCAACGACATGATTTCCGCCACAGAGCGGCCGTCTCGAATGAGCTCCAAGCATTGCGATGCAATCAGCGCTACCGTCTCCACGTAGTTCAGGCGCAAGCTCCTCGCCAAGCGTTTTTGCGCCACGACGCCTGCTTGATGAAGCTGCAGGTGCTCCACCTCCCTTGGAGATAGCCGCATTGCCCTCTCCCCGTTCTTGGCAATGATTGCAAGATCGTCACACGGATCGAAAAACCGCCTTCCAAATCCCTCGCTTTAACGACTATCGAATATGTTGTTATTTCAGTCAAACATCCCTGACGTTAACAACAATTCAAATCGCACTCCCTTGGAATAATGTCAATCTTCAACGATTGGCTTAAATACGAAATATAAAGCCAATCAAAATATATCAACTCAAGAGATCATGTATAATTGGCCAAAATAGAAAGACCTACCCCAGTCCAGCGCCACCAGCCATTTGGTTGGGGCGACCATTGGCTCGAGCCAACGTGTTGGCATGATGGGGACCATTTCCTCATCTTGGTTCCTGAAGTGAAGATGCCTTTCGAAAAGCCCGTCGTGATTGACTGCCGCGCCCACTTGGTCGGTCGCCTTGCGTCTTTGGTCGCCAAGGAACTCCTCCTCGGCCAACACGTCGTTGCCGTGCGTTGCGAAGAACTCAACATCTCCGGCTCGCGTACGTAAACCCCTCTAGCTTTTCCAGTGGACGGCGGTGGCGCCGGGTGGCTTTGGCTTGTTAGATTGGATTGGCGACGTCGGCGTCTACGAGACGCTTCTGTGTGAGGCGGCGGCGCACGACTATTTGCTCGCCGACGGATGTACTCGTTGTGCGCATGCATGCACACGTGACATGGTGGCCCGAGCAGTGCCGGGCGTCGTCGCCCATGGTTGCGTCGAGTTTTCTCGACCGCCAATTCAAAACATGCTAAAGTCGCTGTGTGCAGGCTTTCCCTCTGCGTCGTCTTTCGTCGAACGACGGCGCACGGATTGCCATGCCGCCTACACAACATGAAGACATTGGCACTCACGTGTCCGTGTCGACATTGTTCTGAATGTAGTCGTGCGCAACAAGGTCAAGTTTTTGCAATTCTTGAACAAGAAGTCGTGCACGAACCCCAAGAAGGGTCCCCTCCATTACCGCGCTCCTTCGCGCATGTTCTGGCGCACGGTCCGTGGCATGTTGCCCCACAAGACCGCCCGCGGTGCGGCCGCCCTCCAACGCCTCAAGGTGCGTCCATCCAAGCTGACGCATCTCTTGCGTCGCCCTGGGTGACATTGGTGGTTGTCGTGTAGGTGTTTGATGGTGTGCCTTCCCCTTACGACAAGGTGAAGCGCATGGTTGTTCCTGACGCCCTCCGCGTGCTCCGCCTGAAGGCCAACCGCCGCTACACCAACCTTGGCCAATTGTCGTCGCAAGTCGGCTGGCGCCACCACGACTTGGTCAAGCGCTTGGAAGCCAAGCGTATTGTCCGCTCGGAAGCTTACTACAAGAAGAAGTTGGAGCAAAACAAGTTGGTCGCTGCTGCCACTGCCAAGGTGGCCGCCGAACACAAGGAGCTCCGCCCTACTTTGGAAAAGTTTGGCTTGACCCTCTAAGTTGGTGAAACACACTAACATTTGAAAGGAACCCGTCAGACGTCGGCACTTGTAAATGGCGTTAATACCATCTATTGCCATGGAGGAACCAACGAGGTTGCAACATTTGTCTTGGGGCCGGGGTGTCTCTGGTCGGTGCTGTTGTTGGCAAGCTGTAGATGGTGTTACTTGGTGCAGATCATCATATAGTTACTCAACGACTCCCAGCGACGGCGCGGCCTCCGCTTGACAAGCTTATTGGCGACATAGGGATCCGTCGGTCGGGACGTTGTAGGCCATGGACGCATGTCGATGCTCGGTGGGCGCAAGAAAATGTCTGGTGCAAGTGGGCATGGCCCGATTACAAGTTATCAAACGCGCTAAATTTGTTCGAGTCTTGTTGCTGTTGTTGCGCCGGGTACGCAATCTGGAATGGCGCTTGGGGGTAGCCAGGCGTCGAGTTGTAGCCCCCTGGGTGGTTGTACTGCTGCTGCTGTTGTCCGTATTGGCCTTGGGCCATCGTCGGCGCAGCATTGAATGTATTGAATGCAGGTTGCTGCACAGGGGGTTGCATGTACTGCGTCGGCTGCGATGCAAAGTGCTGCTGGTTGGCGTACCCTTGTTGGCCGTACGGGGCTGCAGCCGGAGGAGGAGCCATGAAAGATGACGGTGCTTGCGGCATCGGGGCGAACGACTGGTTCATCGGGGGGTTAAATGCCGCGGGGGGACCCGAGTTGCTCATGCTCATGCCTGAAAACATGTTGGCGGTCGTCGAGGCAGCGGCTGGCGGGGGTGTTGCGACCGGCAATGCCGTCGACAGAAGCGAGTTGTCAAATGCACTGGACGCAGGTTGCTGCACCTACACGCGCTACCATTAGACATGTGCACCAGGCACACCACGCGATGGATTGTCGCACCGGCAAGTCGAGCAACTCGGTCGATGTCTTGGCTTCGCGGTTTGCTTTCTTCGCCTTCCGACGCGCGGCATAGCTTTCCGTACTTGAGGACGAAGCGCTGGTGTCTGTCTTGTCAGATGAGGTGTTGGACGATAGCAGAAACGGATCCGACGAATTCCGCTGCGACGACGACGACGAGGCCGTGTTGCGGTCCGAGTAGACCGCCGGTCGGCGATCCGAGTACGGCTGTGGCGGTTCGTTCACGGCAGGCTTCTCCGGTTCCTTCTTGACAACGTATTCCTCCTGCAGCATTTTATTGACTGACGACAGGCCAGACTGGCGCTCTTTGGCCGCTTCCAGCGCGCGCGCTTGGTCTTGGAATCCCGACGTCGCCAAGCTAGTCCCCCTGTCAAACTCGCCCAACGATGCACAACCATTCATACATACCTTTGCGTGGCGAGGCCGCCCTCAGCCATCAAGGATTTCTCGCGCTCGGCGATGATTTCCTTCAACATCGAGTTGACGCGCTCACACACCATGTCGAACTGCGCGCCGTTCAAGTTCTTTTCCCACAGGAGCGGCGCGACGGCAGGCAAAATGAGCTTGGCCTTGTACTCAGCGCCGAGGTGTTTGCCCAGATTGTCGTAGCATCCGAGAATACACATGCAGACGGCGGGCGTTTTGTCTTTTGTGAGGCATTCAGACAGACATGGGAGCACCGAGTCGATGAGGAGGTCTTTGTCAAACACATGAAACAATTTGGCAAACCAAAGCAGTGCGTTCACCCGCACCGACAGCTGTGGCGGGTCTAGAATGAGGCGCGTGACGCGGGGAAGTATCACCTGCTTGAGGATGCGGTACTCGAACAAGCTCGCTTGGTCGACAATCTTGTTGAGCACAGTGTCGAGAATTTCCGGGACCGTCGAATCAAGCGACCGACACAGCATGGGAACGATATGGTCGCGGATGTACCCGTCTTCGGCCTTGGGGATGAGCGTCTCCAGGTTCGAGACAAACATGAGCATGCACTGGACGGGCTCGGTGATTTGGAGGAGCGGCACCAGCATTGGCGCAATGCTGCGGGTAAACGTCGACTTGTCCACCATCGACACGATCTTGAGCAGCGGCGTGATCACAAACGGAGCGACGGGCGGGTTGATCACGACGCTTTGGAGCCCAGGGAGGACCATGTCGCGCAACACGCGCGGCGAAAGCCCCGTGAGAATATCGGGGAGAGACTGGAGGAACTTTGCTTGGGTCGCTGGGTCCTGCTCCACAAGGGTCTGGAGGGTTCGGAGCGTCTTGACGAGGCCAGAGTCGAAGAACGGCGACGACAGAAATGCCCGCGCCTCCGGCCGTGCCGACGGCGTCAGTTGCAACAACGACCGGATCGTGTTGTGTAACGTGACGGGAACGAGTGAGTTGAACGTCATGGGGTGCAGCGACTGCGTTTTGTACCCGTGTGTCATGACCTTGCCTTCCAAATGCCCGAGGGCAGGTTCGTGCGTCCCGTCGGGTTTCGGGGGCGAGAACAGCTCCAGCACGAGCAGACCGAGAGAAAACATGTCCGCACTCGAGTTGAACGACCGAGGTTCTGTGATGAGCTCCGGCGCACAGTACTCGAGCTGCGGCTCGTAGTTGCCGTTGGTCATGCCCTTCTTGAGCGGTTCTGCGCCACCCGCGGCGTAGTATTCGCTGCGCGACGTTTGGCCAGGCTCCACGACACGGCAAAAACCAAACCCACCGAGCTTCCATTCTCCTTTGGGCGTGATGAAGATAGAGGACGGCGTCAAGTTCAAGTGGACGCGGCGGCCCTCACGATGGAGAAACGAGAGCGACTCGCCGACATGCATGAGCCCGCACGCGATTTCGAATTCGGACAACCCAATCTCGAGCACTTCTGGCGTGACGTTGGCAACGTTCGCAAAGTTCTTGCACGCGTTCGCGAGCGAGCACGTGACCCGCTCTGTGACGAAGGACAGCGTCTTGCGCGTTTCTTCAATCACTTCCTCGATCTTGAGGATCTGTGGATGTCGCAGGACACGCAGCGTCTTCATGTCCTGGCGAAGGACGTCGAGAACGCGCTCCTTGTTCTGGACCTTGTCAAGGTCCTTCTTGTCGAACACGAACACACTGACTTCCGCGCCCGTTTTGCGCGACAAAGCAGGGTAAATCTTCCACAACAGTTCGTGACCGCCGCTGGCGGTGCTGTCTCGCGGCATTTCGTAGCCCTTTTCGTATTCTTCCCCAAGTACGGCCTGGGATACAACCCCCGACACGGACGCGCCGACATCGTACGCCGCCGTGGCCACAGCGCTCTTGAACCGATTCAACATCGTCGTCGTTGTCCAGATGACTTTCTTCGGTCGCAGATTCAAATGGGCCAAACGAGGTCAATTCGGATGTGAAATCAGGACTTTCGGACACTGCACAATCGGACGATGCTAGATTTGCGAACACGCTCGCATCGATCACGATGACCCCACACGGCCGAGGACGCGCCTAGAGCGGTGTGTTGGATGCACCGACGCCGTCGTTCGGCGTGGGTGTCGATGTTGGTGCAGCATGCCCATCACGTTGAGTCTCTGCCAAAAACTAGGTGTTCTCGTTCAGAACGAAGAGGAAAAAAAGGATTTTTCGACTTTTTCTTTCACGGTCGGAATTTAAAACTGGAACGACATCGAAAGTGCTTGACGGCAGCAGCAACAAGCATCGTGGCACGCGCCACCTCGACGCCCACTGCCAAACCCCTTCATGTGAGCTGTTCGCGCTTTTCCAGAATCCTCGCGTTGGCGTCTGAGACGTGCTTAGCCCTCTATTTTTGGCACACGAATGGACAAAGCATCTCCCGCCTGCTAAAGTTAGGCTGAATGGCTGTGCCGCCCGCTGCATTGGAGAACTATTTCTAGCCACGACGACAAAAGCGTCACCGGGCTGTCGCATGCAATGCACTAGAAGGGCAAATACGCCCTTCAAGCCATGGACTGCGCTGCATAGGAAGCCCGAGATGCCAATGCGGAGTCTGGATTATGGCGGTCCGTGAGCCGGTCTCGTCTTTGCATCCCACGCACGTCTGCCCGCCCCAACAAACGCTTGAAATTACGTCGTCATCGATGCTACAACAACGTGGCATTGGTTTCACAACCTTAATTTAGGGGTGCAAAGGACGTTTTCATAATAACATGGTCGTCGTTTGGAACAGGTTGGCAGCACCAGTCTGCATTTCACTGCGACGACCAAATGGGACTGCTAGTGGTTCCGTCGATTCTTCTCGTGGGGTGGAGTGCTTTGTGGGCGCCGCCATCCTTTGCGGCTGGTTCGAACACTCCCGTGCCCACCCCCGTCGGCGTACTCACTCTGTTGAAGTAGATGTGTGTACGGACCCTCGGCAAACGTGCGATCTCAACACGGCGTGCGCTCTTGACCCAACTCAATTGCCCACCGGGATGAAGTCGTTCTGCGACCTCGCGACGACTGTGTCTCCGTGCAAGCAGTGCACGGCGAGTGGCCAAAACTGTTTCAATGCTCCCGAGTGCCAAGGTGCAACGTTCCGTCGCTCGCGCATTGATTTCTGACGATGGAGTGGGTTGTAGACTCCATGTTCTTATGCAACTACCTCACGGCGGCGCAAAAAGCCGCGCTGCCGTCACACCATCCTTGCCTGAATGTGCCGTGCCAACTGAATACGAACAGCCCGGCTTGCTCTAGCAACGTACCGTCCATCGTGTCGACGCAGCTCCCAACATCAGCGTTGTTGTAGGTGTACGAGTTTTGCTGCGTCCCTGGTGCACCCAACTGCACCAACACGGCCCCGTCGGGGTGTACACCGAGTGGGTGCAGCTCCTTCATGACGGGCACGTCGGCGACGGTCGAATACGCCAAGGTCCCGTGTCCATTTGGAGACAGCGCGTACACATGCACCCACCCAGAATGCAACAACACGTTTATCTTTCAAGACATCGTCAACACGTTTGCAGCCAACCAAGGATGTTCCAGCGACCAATGCATCTCGAAATACGTACGCCCTGCCAGCCACACATATCTGTGAACCCGTCGTGTGGTTTAGATTCCGTCCGTGTGCCAACGCGGCGCAAGTGTCACCAACACACTCAGCGCCAACAAACTCGCATGCACGAACCGCCTCGTTTCGTTTTGCACGGCCAACCCGACGGATCACGGATGCCGCGCCCTTTGTCCATACTCTTGCACGTCGCAGCCCCACTGCCCTTGTCGGAACGACGCATGCGCGGCCGTGTACAAGGCTCCGCTGTGCGTTCGCAACACGGGCGTGTGCGCGACGTTCCGGGCTTCGTTCAAAGCAGAGATGTTTCGCCAGCGGTTTTTCCAGCCGAAATCTGGCAACCTCGCCTATGCCAAAAACAACGCGGGGCCCCCTACATCTCCCTTCGTTTGGTCCCAAGCACTCGTCGACGCCAAAGCGAGCTGCAACTCGGTCGTCCCCAACTTGGGCGACGACATTGCCGCCTGTGTCCAGACGTCGTTTGCATTTTGCAATGCCAATCCATGGCAAACGGTTCGTTTCAACTCGACGTGGCATCGCTTGAGCGAGTCGATCGCTGTAGGGCTGCCAAACCGACTTGAGTACGTGTGGCGATGGATACGTGTCGTGGTTCGAGTCGTGCGACGAAGGCAACGAGACAGCATCCGGTGGGTGTGACGCGATGTGCCGCACCGCTCCTCGCTGGGAATGCTACCAGCAAGGGACGCAATGCAAGCGTTGCATTCACGCGACGGGATACAAAGTCGACGGCGCCAACCCAACGTCCATGTGCCCATTCTGCTACAATCTTCTCAAAGACTTAACCTCACCATGCGCGTCCGCATCGTTCAACTCAGTGTCGACAACGCCAGCCGCGGCCCTTGCATCCGACAACTACGTGGCACGGTACTGCGCTGCGATTGCAGCGAATGGTAACGTTGCTCGCATGCAACACGCATCGAAATGATGGCGTCCTTTTTAGCGACGCTTCGAGACCCTGGCTGCGACGCCTACGTGAACCAGACCCAAGCGAATACTGTGTCGACCGTCGCGTCCTCGTGCGAGTACAGCATCCGCAACGTGTCCATCAACATTCCACAGCTATACTCGCTCAAGGTACGCCGCTGCGTGTGGTTTGGCAGCACCTGAGTGTGACGTGATAGTTTGCGATCTTCACGTGTCGGTTCGTTGATCCGATGGGCCTAAAACCAGATACGACGCCCAAGTATTTGTTTTTGAACCCGCTGGACGCGCTGTCGAGCACGACCAAGGCCCAGCTGACGGCCAAGGCGTCGGCTGCGCTGTACACGTTGTACGGCAACCGACCGAGCAAACTCGTACGTGTTTTCCTCGCCATCCTCCATTCGTCGACTTACAGTCGACACAAGTACTCGCTGCGAGACTTGCGCTTGAGCGACTACTTTCCATACACCGATCCGAATGTTTTGGTGGTAAGGATACATGACTTCCATCGCGCGCTCCTTGGCTTGATGTCGAACGATAGAACGGCGACTTGTTACCGATGCCCAGTCCACTGGGCCGCCTCGCCTTTTTTCCCAATGGCACCAGCATCTCGTACGATTGCAGGACCTTTCCGTACAATGTGGGGCTCATTGCGCTGCCCCCGACGAAGAATCCCCTCCAGTGGGCGGTCAAGGCAACACTGTACGTCTCGCCTGCCACGAATTGGGCCATTCAACGTGACGTCGTCGCTGTAGGATGCGGTTGAAGTTCATGGCTGTCAACACGGACGACGCTTCCATTTCGGATTTTGCCTCGCTCTTCCCCGACGTTCTCGACGCTGATACATCTCCCGTGGACGGGACTTTGCAGTTTGCCCACCTCGTGGGGCGATCAGTGCAAGATGTATCGACGGGGGCCATCACGGACTTTCCAACGATGGTCTGCGCTGGTTCTAATGTCCGTACGCGGTTGGCATCGCTAGTTCGGTTGCGTCTAACATCTCTGCAGTGCCTCAACGCTGAAGAATCGATCAAGAAAGGACTCGGGCGAATCCACCTGCGATCGCAACTGTTTGACGTACGTCGTCCTGCGAGAGACTGCGCCGTCCCTGGCCCTCACCAACTCCCGGCGGTGTCTAGAATTCGTGCGCCGATTCGGACATCGCGTGCAAGTATCCCGTCGACAAGTGTCGCTACGTCCCCCTCAAACCGAAGAGTCTCGCGCTGGACGCGAATATAATCCGGGCCACATCCAAGAACGTTGTCGCCAGCATGAACAAAATTGCCAACGCGGCAACGAATGAAGCCGCGATGCAAGGGTTTCTCGACGTCGCGATGGCGGCTGCGACCGAAGTGTTTAGTGACACAGAGAGTCTCTTTTGGGCGGCAGTGTCGACGGGCTCGCAGCCCAAAGTGCTCAAGAGCGTGGCAAACTACTGCGGCGTCCGCAAATACCTGACCAACTCGTCACTGTACGGACTCCTTCCCTTTCGTTCGCCATGGAGCTCATGCCGGACGATGGTAGGAACCCCGCATGGCTGTCGAGTCCGTGCTGCAACAGCGCGCTGGCGGATTTTATGTGCTGTCTGCCCAAGGACGTTCCAAACGGGTCGATCAATGTCATCTCGGGCATCCAAAAGGACGTAATTGCGGCCAACTGCCCGTTGAATGCCGACTCGATGCTGTCGTTTTTGAATGGCGCGTACGTCGGCCTCACGGGCGTCCAAACGGCGGTGAATTCGCTCAACGCACTGGCCATGAAGAACAATGCGTGGGAGACGGTCGAAGCTCTGCAATTCGAATGCCATGCATCGCTTATCAACGCTTCCAGCACGGCGTGTCAATCGGACGACGACTGCACTGCATGCCAGTACAGCCAGTGCCGCATCGACCCGGCAACGATGGTCGGAAAATGCACGGTGCCGTGGAACAAAATGATCGAGTGCACCGTCGACTGCCTCGCCAGCTCGCTGGACCCCCTCGTCCTTCGTTACCTCCAAGACGACTGGAACCTCACGTCCGCCAACACGACCGCCGACTTGACGAAAGCATTTACCAAGTACACCGCTGACATGGGCTGCACAGGTGTGTCTACATCCCGATGGCATCACCTACACCCTTGCCACCAACTTGTTGCAGGTCCCATGGCCAACTCGCTCGACGTTGGCAAGACCACGTCCAAATACGTGTGCAACTCGACGTGCGAACTGGCCAAAATGTGCGAGGACAAGGACTACCAGTTCTACTTGCGCCGGGCGCTGAACAATCCGCTCCTCGACTTTGGCGTGACAGCCACTTGCACCAGCAATGGCGGGCGGCGTGTCTGCTCGGGCTACGACGCCAACGGAAATTGCCAGCAATACAGATGCACGTTTGACATCGTTCAGAGCGGGTGCAAAGATGAATCCCAGTGCATTGCCCAGTGCCAACTCCCTTTGACCCCCGGGGGGTGCAAGGTTTCGCAAGGACGGTGGTACGTGGACGCGACTGGTGTCGGTCGCTGCTGTCCCCCGGTAACGTCCAAGCTCGACGCCACCGTTGTCATTCGTGGTTGTAGGACGCTTACTTTTACGACGGCAATTCCACCATACCCCCAGTGTGCACGTACCAACTGCCCAACGCCCCTGCATTGCCCTATCAGCTGCGCGATCCGCTTTGTTGTGCTGCGAACAACGGGACGTGGTTTATGGTGGACGACAGCACTGGAAGCTGCTGTTTTGGGCGGATCATTACCATCCAAAACAGTGGCGTGAGTCAGCTAGCGTGCCAGACCAAGATCGATGGCTGGGACGTGTCGTCGTGCCTTGCCACGTGCGCCACGTCGTTTGGGACGAGCTGCACGGCATGTCAAACCACGAGTGCGCGGACGGATTGCTGCTCGATCCAAACGACCAGCGCCAATGCGACGGCATGCCTGGCGAAGAAAGCCTGCAACAATTATCTTTTGTCCTCGGCGAATTGCAACGACCCGACTCCATTTTGCGCCAAGTGTACCGGCAAGAACTGCGTCAGCGTCACGCAGCCACCAACGTGTCTGATCGACGCGTCCACAGCGTCAGCGTGCACGTCGTTGGGCGGAACGTGGAACGCCGCGACCAAGCAGTGCGCGGCTCTCACTGGCAACAACATTGCCGCCGCCGACTGCCTTCGCACCGACCTGTGCCCCAGCGCGACCAACTTTACAGCGTTTTACACCGTCGTCCCATTGTACCCTCGTCGCACGACGCGGTGTCTGCGTGGGTGCTACCTGCCGTCCGTCGCTCGATCGACGTGTCTTGCCAACTCCCAGTACATGTGGGACTCGACCCATGGCAATGGAGCTGGCATTTGCGTCGGGCGCCGCAACATCATCACGACGGCTGCATCGTGCACGACGGCAGGCGGCATCTTCTTGAACGCGACCAAGTCGTACTTTCCTGGGGCGTTTACCACGGAAGACCAGTGCAACCAAGGAGGCTGCGTCGGAAGCCCCATCAACGACGGATGGAGCTCGGCGCAGTGCCTCAGCACCTCGTACGGGTCGTGCGACGTGCAATGCAACCTGTGCACGACGCAAACACAGCCGTTTGTCCAGCAAAGCCTCGGCGCGTGCTTCAGTACCGATGCCGCATACTGCACCGGAATGAACATCGCCTCGACCCCCGTAAGAAACTGCTCCCTTGGGTTGCCTTTCCCGTCGCTGACTCGGCTTTTAGTGCTTAGTCGTCGACGCCACAACGTCTGCGTTGTGCGCATCGCTCACGTCGACGGTGTGGCGAACATGCTCGCAGTACACGACGACATCGACGTGTGGCAACGCGACCGACCCGTTTGCATCGACGCTCAAGTGCATGTGGACCGCCCAAACGTGCCCGACACGCGCCCAGTGCCTTGCTCAAGGCAAGTGCGACGACTTTGAAAACATGCGACAGCAATGCTTGGACTCTGGTTGGACTTTTGGCGACACGTGCTTTGCGTTTGTCGCGTCGAATGCGACGTCGGCGATGCAGTCGAGGGTGTGCACCAACTGCAACCGCATCAACGGCGTGTGCGTCGCTCCAGTGACGGCCTCGACACCTTGCCCCGTCGAACAGTACGTGAGAATTTGGGCATGGAAGGTCTCATCGTTGCACAGGGCACACCCCATGGGCTGCCGCGTGTACGACGTCACAACGAGCGCGGTATGCACGGCGAGAGGGGGAACGTGGTACACGCGCGCCACGACCAAATCGCAGTGCCTCAACACGAAAGCCTGCATCGATCCTGTCACGGGGGTCAGTTCCAAACAAAACGCGACCGAGTGCGCGAGTTGCAAAGGGAAGATGTCGTCCCTGTTTTCGTGGTGGCCTGGCAATTGGCAAAGTCCGCGCGTCGAACCCTATGTGTGGAATTCCAATGGCGCCCAACTCACTACTGTGAACGAGTACGTGGGCGGGACCAGTGTGGGCAACTTACGCTCCTGTTACAGGTGGAAGCCGACAATCTCCGACGCCAAGTTGACGGATGCGTTGGCCCGCCCCATGATTCGACGCATGGCGACCATTCAAGCCCAGAAAGCGCTCGTCTTGTACGCTTCCCCTCCCACGTTCTATGTGCTTCTGCTGACTAACCCGTGGCAATTGCCGACGCAGGTATAACTCGATGACTGAAGTAATGGCGACTCTGGCTTGTGCGTGCGGCGTCGGGGCGTCATCGTCGTGCTTTACAAAGAATCCCACCGGCGCTTTGGTTGCCCAGACCAAAGTCTTTTGTGGGTTGACGTACACTGCCAACACTGGTTTCTCCATCGCCCAAGTGTCGGCTGCTTGCCCAGAGTCGACCCCGACGGAGCGGCGCCGGCTTACTGAAAGCGCCGAGACAGCGACCATCAACTGGTTCACATACCCTCTTGGTGAGCAAGTCTGAGCTCGCCACGCCAGCTGACGCAATATTCACTCTGTAGCTTCGTTTGTCCTTTTTCCGCTCGTGCCCAAGTGCAATTCGTCCGAACTGAACCCGCTGGTAGTCACATCGACTCACGGACTCGTGTATGGGCAGCTCCTCGGGTCTGGCCAACGGTTCGAAGTCGCCAATGGTGGCCTAGTCGACTCGGTCGACCTCTGCCTGCCGATGTCATTCAATGTGCATTCGTGGGACGATCTCTTCGACGTTGTCGACATCGCGATGTACGAAGACGGCGTATTCACCCCCCTCCACTTGCAATCCTTCCTTCCATCAACTGCAGATCAAGTGTGCTTTCAAGCTCTAGCCAACACGTCGTACTTTCCGATCAAACGCGCCAACGTCACTGGCATCGAGACGATGGCCTGCCCGCTCTCGTGCAGTAGCAACACAAGCATCTGCGTGTACAATGCAACTTCCCAAGCAGCCGAATGTGTCTGCCGCTGTGGGGCGTCGGGGCCAACGTGCTCGTTTGGCTGTGACAATGGTGTGTGCGCTTGCAAAGACGGATTTGGCGGGGCCGACTGCACCACGCCCCTGTGCCCAACAGGGTCTTCTTTGTTCGCTCCTTGCTCGAATGCGGGCATTTGCAATCCGGTGGGCTCGTTCAACTTACCAAAATGCCTGGAATTCTCACTGGACATGGGTAGAATGGAACGTGTACGTGCAATGCAAACATCGGGGGAGAGGCGTGCGACGTCCCCATGACAACGACAGCATCTCCCACCACTTCTACTGCCCCAAGCACCACTTTGGTACCTGCTACCGCCACGAAGGAGGTACCTGCTACCACCACGGCGGCCCCAACGCCAACTCCCACCAAGAGCACGGCCTCGCCTTCTTTGCTTGTCAACGTTGCTGGCACACTTCTCATTGCAGCTTTATTTCTTTCGGCGTAAATAATGCTATCGCCTGTTGTATTCAAACGCATGCGCTGGTGATCAGCAAACTTCTGTGTGGCTGGCCAGAGCATACCTATTTATGAACCAACCGCTCCTACGTCCCTGTGCTGGACGTCCAACGGCGATTCCAGCGCTGCAACGCCGCCACCGCCATGGTCTTGGTAATCAACAGCATCCCGTTGGGGTGTTTAAAACGACACGCCAGACATCCTTGAACGAATCGGCTGTGGCGATGGCCATCTTGCTGTAAGCCATCGAAACAATTTTACCAAGCGCACCAGCCTCGCTTCCGTGCAGCACAGGACACTCTACTCCTAAACGTCCGCCCAAACGATTCCACGCCATGGGCAGCCATGCGCATCCCAAGCCCCATTCATCTGTATTGGGCCGCTCATTGTTTCTCCTCCTAGGCCCCGTGGCGCATTCCATGCGGCTCTTGGCCATGGCTATCGTCGCCTCTGCCACGCGGTCCACGTGCCACGTCAAACACAAGACCCCTAGCCCTAGCAAACAATGTTGACGCTGTGATTGGCCCGTTTAGCTCGGTTTACACCTTGTCAAGCATGCGCTGGTTGGGTGCCGTCGTCATCGCGGCAGCCGTCGGTGTTCTCGCGCATGCACTGCACTGGACAGAGAAGCACCACCTCCAGGAGAAGGCCAAGGAGATGTTCTTCCATGGATACAACTCGTACATGACACATGCCTACCCGTGGGATGAACTCAAGCCGCTGAGTTGCGAGGGACGACGATGGGACCGCAAAGAACGCGGAGACCTCGACGACGCGTTGGGTGGCTTTGCATTGACGGTACGATGCGATCGTAGGCATCCCTCCATCGCTCTCACGGCAAGAGTAGCTCATCGACTCGCTCTCTATGTTGGCTCTTGTCGATCCCGTTGAGTTTGAAGCAGCTGTGACCCGCGTGATTCACACCGTAAAGAACGACCCCACCTTGCGACGTCCAGCCTTGCCAGACGAGCGCTTCCACATAGGTGTCCTTCGACCGCGACGTGACTGTCTCTGTCTTTGAAACCACTATTCGCGTCATCGGTGGTCTCTTGTCTGCGCACATGCTGGCGACGTCAGGGTACACCCACCTCGCTTGCCCCCCATTCTTATCTGTTTCTGCAGCGCCGTCGGGTCCATACACTTGACATATCAAGGAGAACTCGTCGACTTGGCCGTCGAAGTCGGCACGAGGTTGCTTCCAGCGTTTAAAACCAAAACCGGATTGCCCGTCCACCGCGTCAATCTCAAGGTACCGTGGACCCGACGGACGACCTGCCACGACGTTCTAATGCTTTCGACGGACACAGCATGGCCTGGTGCGCAATGCACCAGCACTGACATGCCCGGCAGCAGCGGGCTCGTTGTTGCTAGAGTTTTCGGTGCTGTCTCGGTACGTTGCGCTGCATGTCCCGGTTGTACGTGTTTGAATGGAAGCGCGCGGTAGGCTGTCTAATATTCCAGACTTTGAAGATGCTGCCCTCGACGCGGTCTTGGCGCTGTGGGATCGCCGATCCGAGCTGAATTTGCTCGGGAGCACGATCAACGTCCACACGGGCGAGTGGGTGCACACCCACACGGGGATCGGGGCCGGTCTCGATTCGTTTTACGAATACCTGCTCAAGTACTACGTCATGTCCGGAGACAGCGACTTCCTCGACATGTTCAACCAAAGTTACGTGAGCATCGAGAAGCACTTGCTCCACCCCCGCGACGGCTACCACCGTGAAGTCGACATGAGTCTCGGCAACCAATTCGTGCATTCGAACCGCGTGTCGGCATTGCAAGCGTTTTGGCCAGGGCTCCAAGTCTTGGCCGGCGATCTCGCGGCGGCCGTTTATTCGCATCAGCAACTGTTTGACCTGTGGAACGAATTCGGTGCGCCTGCTATGGATATCGACGCGACCGGTCCATGGTGTCAAGAGCCTTGTGTTTAGGAGCGCTACCGGAGCTGTACGATCGGTCCGGCACAGGCTCGGTCGTTGAATGGGCCAAGCACTACCCCCTTCGCCCGGAACTAGCAGAAAGCACGTACCACCTGTACGCCGCGACCAAGGACGACAAGTACCTTCAAATCGGCCGCAAACTCCTGCAAGACATCGACGACACGTCTCGTGTGTCGTGTGGATATGCAGCTGTACGACAATCGCTGGAAACGCGGCGTGTGATGTTGACGTGGGGCAGCAGGTCGGCAACGTCCACGACAAGCGCCTCGAAGATCGCATGGACAGCTTCTTCTTGAGCGAAACAGTCAAGTACTTGTACTTGCTCTTCTCGAACGACACAAGTGTAGTCATTCCCAAGACCGCGGTCAACCGCAATGCTCTGCCCGCTTCGCACGTCGGTCCATTGCTCGTTCCACACTGTCATTCTTGACGATTGTGTCCGTAGGTGGTATTTACCACGGAAGGGCACTTGTTTCCCGTCGTGCCATCGCTGTATCAAGACGCGACGTCGAAACGTCGCAAGTTCCGCAAGCCCCATCAAGATCGCACGTGTGCTGCGCCGTACTCTCTGGGAAGGCTGACGTCCAAGGTACTGTTTGCGCATGGCGCTGTCATATGACAAACGTGTGGTGGGGTGCTCAGAACGCGCACTTGGACGCGGCTGTGACCATCCGCCACGGCAATCTGCACATCAAGACTTTGTCCGCATCGCCTGCCCAATTTGGGTACAAATTGTCGGTCGGTTGACACTCGTCGCACAGCACATCCAGCGCGTCACTCTCGACGACCCGTAGGACGGACGGATCGACGGCGCGTTGTATGCTGCTCTAGACGACGTGCAGACGGCGTGCCAGGACCTGTCGGCGCTGGTAGGACGTCCGACACAAGCTCCAACGAAACCTTGTGTCATGGTAGGCACAGGCGATTCGAGGCAAGATTGTGCTGGTGAAGCGCGGGAATTGCTCGTTCACGCGCAAGGCGTTGTACGTACAGCAAGTCGGGGGCATTGGCATGATCGCCGTCAACTCCAAATCATCCGGCGGCCGAGACCGCACTGCCCACCGGCTGTACAGTTTGTCCGACGATGGCGCAGGCACTCACGTGACGATTCCCGTGGTCATGGTGTCCAAGCGCGACGGTCTGCTGCTCCAAAACGACGTCGCCCATTGCGACCAAGAGCTCGTTGTGTCGCTCTCGATGCTACTTACATGACATCCACAAAATACTTGGACGAATCCTTGCACCCCACGATGTACATGTTGAGGAAACTTTGCTTCGTGTGGACATCATGTGCGGACCATGCAATTCACGGCCACGGCAGGCGGCATCATGAGGCGAGTCAATGGCGTTTCCGTACGCATCGACCGCCCGTGTTGTCGGGACGGCAGCAGTGGCGAGCCATGGGGTTGGAATAAGAATGGTGCCATTAGTAGTTACACCTCGGACACGGCACACACGCACAACACACCTGCTGCTGCTTTCCAAAATGCAAAGATTCTGGCTAACGGGATGCGGATTGCTTACGCATCTTCGTCGAAGATGGTGAGGTCAACCTTGAGCTTGTTGCCCTTGACCAAGTCGGCGTCGTCGTCATCTTGAATCAAATGCACAACCTTGCTCACCAAGAACTTGCTGCGGTCCAATTGAAGCTTGACATCTTCCGGCACGTCGTCAATCGCAATCGAGAGCGCGTACTTGAAGAGGAGGATGAGGTGCTCGACGACGACGAACGTCCACAGTTTGGTCTCCATCGACACGCCCGAGAACGTGTGGTTCGACACAAATACGACGGCCGCCACGTTGGTGAGGACACTGATCGTGCCCATGATTTCAAGAATTGTTTGCCAAGTCCCAATGTCTTCGGCGCCGTGCGGGTTGGGGCGGCGCGACTCTTTGGCGAGCTTGAACGCGTCGATGCGGATTTCAAAGTAGTTGTTCAACAGCGCCAGGAACGGCGCGAGCGGGAACGACACGACGAACAGTGTGATGTACCCAAACTGGATGATCATTTCGTTGTAGTCGGCAAAGATCCCCATGTTGTCGTACACACCCAAGTGCATTTGTTCTTCAGCGACAGACAAGTGGCGCTGGACACCGTCCTCGGGCGAGTCCGTCTTGCGGAATCGCGCGGCCATCTTTCGCTTCAGGTAAGGCAAGACGGCTTCAAAGAAGTTGCCCGACGTCAACCGAAGGCCGAAAATAATTCCGAGCGAAAACATCAAGTCGTAGATACAACCGCCCTTGGCCGGGTCCGAGCACTCGTTGTCCGGGATCGAATTCTTGATGAACGCAATATAAAACAAACTCGCGTACGAGTTGACAAACTGGAACAAGAAAGTCTTGGCGATCAAGTTGTCTTCGTACTCGGTGTCCGTGCGGTGGTTTTCTATAATCGACAAGCAGTTGTGAGCCCCTCGACACCGCAACGCAGAACGAACGCACCGTAGTTGTTCAATCGAACGGCAATCGTGCCGTAGATGCCGTTCATTACTTGAATTTGCACCGCGTTCAACGTGGCTCCAATCGGCGCACTCAAGTTGATGCCGTTGATGGTCACCAACGATTCCAACGCATGACCCTTGCGGGCAAAGTAACGGAAGACAAAGATGGCTGCCACCGCGCCGATCACCATGAGGATCAACATGAAGATAAAGATCTACAAACTCGGTCACACACGATCCCTCGTTATCACGAGGTTTGTTACGCACCAAGGACGCGCACACACGGCTGCGCTGCTTCGCCGGGCTGAAGTAGCGCATTGGGCGGCCATCGACCGGCGATTCGACCTCCTCGCCGTCAAACTCGGCACGATCCTCTTGTTCTTCCTCAAAACCATCCATACCCCACTCGAGCTTTACGACCGAGTTACGGCGCTTCCAGCTTTCCAAGTATACCGTGCCCCACAACGCCATGAAGAGACCAAACGCGGAAATGAGTCGTGCGTCCACGGTACGTTCAATAACAATGTCCACGAGCATGGCAATCCCGACGATGGACGGTCCGATGAGCCAAGTCGTGTAGTGGCCCAACCAAACAAAGTAGAGACCGACTTTTTCACCGTAGTAGTCCTTGATGTCGGAGAAAGGCTGTTGCCACGGAAGACTGGACCAGTTGATCCATTTCTTGGTCACCGCTTCTTGCTCTTCTTCGTCGTGAAGGGCGTACGCGGTGACGAGACAGTTCTTCAGCGTCAACGTCGTGATGTTCAAGTGGCAGCCGCCATCGGTCGTGGACGCATGGATGATGCTCAAGATGAGCTTGATGCGGTCAACACCACGGAATGGGATCTTCTTGTGACCGTACTTCTTGTACAGGGGTTGCAAACGGGGCTCCATGTCAAATTTAGCAAAGATGTTGTCGAACGCCTTGCGGTGGGTCAACTTCGCATCGTCCTTGATGCGAATGGGTGCGATGCCACGGTCCGCATACCCCGCTTCCGCAACGCGCTTGAGTTCGTCAGCATCAAATTCCAACTTGAGATCGATGCGGTCGGCTTCCTTGCATAAGCGTTCCAACGACGCGCGGATCTATATCATCCGGGCATCAGTGACCTGACACACGGCGGCCAAGAACGGAGGACCTTGCAGAAGACCAAGTCACGGGACGTTGAGTAAAACATCTTGGTTTCCAAACCGGCGTTTGCCAAGCGCTGCAGGATCGTACGCATCGACAGATCCTTCTGAATCTGCGTCAGTTCCTCCGTTTCATCATGCACCTTGAACACGAACACGTAGTCGTAGTTGTATCCGTGCTTGACCTCAAACGGGTCCTTGGGCTCGTTCACATGGAGTTTGACGTCTTGAATGTCAGACTTGCCCATCGCAGTGTCCTACAGCGACAGTCAGCGCCGATACCGCCCCCCATCGGCGAAACGTACGGCGTCGGTGGCTAAATTCAAACTGCCGCCCTTCCCCTCGTGCGTACCTTCGACATGGAACAACTGAGCCAACCAAAACGTTCCATTTCATCCGGATACCAAAATCCGCGTTGTGATTGGGTCATGGATATCATGGTATACTTCAAATTTGTATGCAGGATGCGACGGGCGACGTCGCTGCACGATTGTGACCGGATAAAAGTGCTGCTTTGCAGTGCGGGCTGGGCGAATCGATGCGCCAGGGATGGCCACCAAGTACGCGCGCAGCCCTTCGGGAGAGCGGGGTAAGGAATCGCTGAAGAGAGGTCCATGCTCAACTAATGTCATAGCCCTAATGCCATGGCTCGCTATGTTGAAACGATTACCACTCGCTGGAGCAGGCTAGCTCGCTACACTGCTGGTGAGGAGATCTGGGGGTAGAACTCTTAAGCGCACGTCCTTGGACAGGAGATGGGGCTAGAGGAAGGACCTTGTCGGTGGTCGTCGAGATGAGAAGGAACCTTGTCGGTAGGTGTCGGTGAGAAGGATTGTGACTGCATTCTGTCGCTAGAGCAGTTTCACGGCACGTGTTGTTTTGTAACTCTCAATAAGCCGAAATTGGGCCGCAATGTCCCGGCTGCCCCGCCCGGGAGGCAAGCTGCACCCATCGGACTCAAAGAAAAACAAGGGGGGTGGAGGCAGCGGCTCTGCACCGGGTAGATGGGTCGACGGCGGCAATGTTGCCGACACTTGCCGCATCCCTCCATACGACTCGACCAAAGACAAACATGTCGGCTTGGCCCCAAAAATTTCGTAAGGCTGCGCGCTTCATTCGATCCAATCTAATACTGTGGTCCTGCAGGCCAACGAAAACAAGTCCATCCAAGAAGGGCGCACGACCAACTACCTCTATCACAACGCAACCCGTGCATCAGGTACATTCTCGTGCTAGATGCATCTTCCCTGACCGAGGATATTGTGAAGGCATCCGATACGTCCATCATCAAAGCTCCAGCCCATCGAGGGAACATCACGTTCGAGTCGGACGTGCCTGGCAACGGCGGCATGGTACGTCCACCGCTCGGTCCCTGCGAGATCACCGACGTGCCACCAGGAGCTCGACGTGCTCAAGGCGATCATTCTCCGGGAAGACTACTTGTCGCGACTGGCCGACATGTCCAAGAGTGCGTCGCAGTACACGCTCGTCGGGTCCATGGCAAACACATTGGATCTCATTCGGTTGACGACTGTCGAGGTGGTTGAAACGATCGCAACATGGCGAAAGCAGCAACCCAAGCACATGCCGTTCAAGTGGAACGGGATCAATTATCTCTTAAAAGTCCCGTCCGACCTCGACTTCATGCAAGAGGTACACTGTTTATGGTTCAACTGGCTTGACGCGACCCGCTCCCAGTGCGACGTCATGGTGCGGTGGCTCGGTTTTTCGTTCGAGAGGAACCCGTTTGTCATGCCGGACAGTTTGGACAGTCGCAGCCAAGTGTTCGAACCCGGTCGAGCGGCGACCCCCACAACGACGTCAATGGATGATCCATTTCTTCCTGTCGGCGGACTGCCTGTTGCTGCTTCCCCCATGTCGCCCACGACCGCTGCCGGGCGATCCAAGGGGAAAACGGCATACGAGACGCGCATCCTAAACGACGACGACTTGCTGCCGCGACCAAAACCTGCCACCCTTCAAGGAACCGCACCCTCTGCCTCATTGAAAGCCAAACCCACCGTGGTCTTGCCGTCGCAAGTTGGCGACTTGGACGTCCTTAGGATTCGCGAAGCGGAAAAACTTCTGTTGGAAGAAGAAGCTCTCTTTGGACGATACAAGCGCGACCTGTATGGCCGGTTGGTGCCTGGTATAGTCTTTTGCTGAATTCGTGGACCGATGGCTGTTTAATGGACGTGTTGCGCGGCGATGACGTGTAGAGGCGGTCGCGCTGCAACAAGCCAAGACCTCCAGTATCTATCAGAATCACACGCGCACGTCCCTGGAAGGCCCGCCATCGAGCACAGCGATCAACCCGCTTTCATCATTGGCAGCGTCTCCACTTTCGGTTCACGCGACCACTTCCTCCGATGACAACCCAACCTGACACATGATGCCTAGGCACCCGCAACGCATGCGATCGTACCATCCAAAGGCAACGAAAAGTTGACCGGCTCGATCAAACAAGCAGGCATGCTCGCACCCCCGACAAAGTTCAGTACGCTGCACAATTCACTGTGTTGTCCATGCTTACGGGTGGGAATGCGTAGACATGCAGGGACGGATCCGACCGCCCATGAAGCGTTCGCGCGGGGCGAAGATGGAGGAAGAGCTGGAAAAAACCATCGCCGCCAACAAAGTGCTTGAGTACGTGTGTCCAACATGGACCCGACAGACTGACATGACGCGTCAGGTATCATATTGCTGTCCTTCGCGACGCCATTGCAACCCACCAAGCTGCATCACGTGACGGAATGTCGCCACAGCACCGGTCTTCGTCGACTCTCGCCACGGATGCGCCGACACTGGCCATGTTGCAACGGGATCTGGACGCTCAAATTGAAGAATACGAGCGAAAGAAGCGGGAAATTGTACGCAAGCAGGAGGCCATGGAGGCATTCAAGCACGCGCAGAAATCGGCCGTCGAGAACGCCGTACGCTTGCATGCCAAGTTGTGGTCTATGCGATCCATGACCCCTTGCTCGTCTGTACGGCTATAGCGCCTCGCGGAACTGCTCCGAAAACAGCAAATGGACGAAGCGCAGATCCTTGCGGAAAAGGTCAAATTGGTTCAAATCTACAAGGCGACGCACATCCAAAAGATCGTCCGCGGCATTCTCGCGAGAAAAGAGTACAAGACCATTCGCATCAAGTACACGATTGCCAGCACGTACATCGAAGCTGCCGTCCGGGGCTTCTTGGCCCGCCGGCGCGTGTTCAAAGTAGGCCACGTTGTGTCCATGCACCGCACGTCTTTACGTTTGTGGCTGACCCCACCGTCCTAGCTGTTTCATCGGCGGAAGGCTGCGATCAAAATTCAAACCATCGCACGGGGCATGTTTGCAAGGAACGCCACCTGCCTCGAACGCATGGCGCAGAAGCAGCGCAAAGCGTCCGTCGTGATTCAAAAGACGTACCGCGGCCGGCTCGGTCGCCACCGCATGCGGCACTTTCGATCGCTGCACAGTGCCAAGTTACGACTGATCTACTTGACCGAGCATTTGTGCACGGACGAACTGGTCGAGATGGGGCGACTGTTGTGTGCATACTCGAAACACCCCGAGAGCAAATACACCGTCAAGCCGTCCCATGTTGTACTTGGCCTGGTCCGCATCCTGATGAGCGCTTGTTTCAGCTGTCTGTCGCCCAAGGATAAACTTCGTCTCGAACAACCAATCCATGAAGTGCGGTGGATGGAAGCGGGGCAGTTCCTCCGGCGTGCGTCAGCGCTGCTGCGAAAGTTGCACACCATGGCGGTAAGATAACGAGAAAGTTCTTCCTGGATGGAGCCAACGCACGTGGTTGTCGCAGGCAAGTGCCGGTCGCGTGATGCTGCCGCTATCGTCGGAAACCCTCGCCTTGATTCAAGCATACCGTCATGACAAGGACTTTTCTCTTGCCCATTTTGCGACACAAGGTTTGTGCGTATTGTTACAATTTCATCAGGCCAACCGAACCGATATTTTTGCAGGAGCGCTGGCCAAGACGTCGTCGACGCTGTGTCAATGGATCCAGGCAATGGCCACGATCAGCGACGTGCAGCACGTGTTCCTCGAGCCGACTCCAGCATTGGAGCTGAATCTAGACGATCACGCGGACGAAGATCGTGCCGAGTTGAAAGCGGTAGGGTTCAAGCACAGCACGATGGTGCTTTGTCCGATCGAAGGTGACCTGTGGTTGATGGGTAGTGCGAACTGGAGGACCACCACAGCCAGAGGCAATTCGTCCCGCTGTCGCTGATCCAGGACTGCCCCAAACGTCCACGACCTCTCTTGATCATTCTCTCCCGCGATATTCCAGGTGTGAAGCACCATCGTCTCTGCGCTTAACCTTGGAACGTCGCAGGCCATGCCAAGCACCTCTTGGTGCAAAACATGATGATGACGTTCCCAGGGCTCTTTCTTCATATTTCTTCGCTGTCGTCCATCGATATCCAGACGATTCAGCAAACCTTTGATGCGGGCTACAGGTGCGTGCATGTGGCGTGTGATGATCCTGCAGTGCCAGTCCTTGACTCAGTGGAATCAACAGCGTCCTGTACGACGCCGACATTGGCCTGAGCGTTGGACAACAGCGAAAGTTCCTCGGACAAATCTCGATCGTTGCCAAAGCCCTGCGACCGAGCCCGTTGAATATACTCGTTCAAGGCGATCTGGGCAATCGAGCTGGCCAAGGCGACGTCAACGTCCATGGTGTGGCCGAGACGGACTTGCATCAACTCGCCGACAAAGACGCCAAGTACCATGCTCAGGTAACCGACCCATGCTCCACAAAAAACTTGTCTGAACCGCGGTTGTCTAGGTGGCCGCCGATGGCCTCGACGCACTAACAAACGGTCGCATGTTTGTCGAAATGATGCGAACGAGCCTTGACGACCGGCCAAACTTCGGCCTTGTCTTTGTAATGGAGGCGATCCTGATCTTGCTCACACCAACCCAGCGCTATCACTCGCCGGACCTCACGACATCGACGGTCACGTGGTGCGAATTACCTTGATGTCCTTCGCTTCTCAGCCGTGGCGTCCAGGCGGCTGAGTCGACGCCTCCTGGCAACCCCAGACTTGTTTGCGGCCAAGTTGACTGCAGTCGACATGACCTGCCTCCCCATCGACAACGTTATGGTGCTGAAAGCGTACGACACCATGCTGCAGAGATTCGATTGACACTGCTCGCAGGTATATTGAGCATGCATCGTGGCCAACGGCGAACACGAGCCATGGCAGCCTCATGCATCGCCTCGCGCAGTTCACGCACGCGATGGTGCAATTTGCGCTTCACATTCACGCGAACGGTGGATGTGCCAAGAGGATTTGCCGCGCCAAGCCGATACCAGGCTTGTTTAGCAGTGTCATCACGGTGACTGACCCATCGCCAGGTCTGAAACCCCGCGACAACCATGAGTCGTGATCACTCGATACCGCAGACGATCCTTCCTACAAAACGATTTTTGCCAAACTTGCCTGTGCGATCCTCGACGACGTCCGCGTGTATCGAGAGTCCAAGAAGATCGGAGATCGGTGCGGAGATTATCTGTCGGACCACTGGTGTTTCAACCTGGTCAACTCAATAGGCTGTACATTCTCACGCTCTATCGCGACTGCCACCGCGTGTATGTGAGTTGCTACGACCCCGCCACGTCAATGTTGTGGAAAGTCGACGTACCTGAAGCCGACGTACGTTCGTCCGATCGGGCTTGCTTCCTTCGCAAGACAACATCGTCTCACTGCCGTTATGTAGATGAACACGTTGCTTGCCCCCAACTCGATCGAAGTCCTTCAGCAAAAGAAGCCTCCTCGGAATCCAAAGGAACTGTACAAGAGCATTGTCGGGTATTGCCGTTTGTCCAAGCCCCGAGGGCGCGACCCGTCCGTCCAGCTCGAGCTGCGGCCTCGCGCGATGCGGCTGTGTCGCCTGGCCCGAAAGATCCACGGACACTTTGCAACTGTAGGATGGCCACGCATGGGCATTTGGGTTGTTTGTAACCATCCATGTAGATCACAGTGTCCGAGGTGGCGATGGGCCACTTACGCCTCGACATCCACATTCACGACTCGTTCAGCTCGAAAACCGTGTCGTGGACGGTGCATGTCGACGACGACGAGCTTCAAAAGCTGAAACTAAACGCGACAGACCCGATCGAATCGACGGCGTACAACGACTTGGATGTCCAGGTATGAATCACAACCACGTATGAACTAGCCAAACATGTCCCCTGCATCTAGACGATGTATCGGTACGTGTTGGACCGTGTTCACATCGAGCACCGACGCATGACGCTGCCGCGCACCCACCACTTCATCACAAAGCCTGCTCCATCCACCCTCGCCGAGTCGCCCGCCGAGTTACGCGTTCGAGTACGGCAGCATGGCGGGTCAGGGAGGCTCCTGCGCCGCCAAGTCGTGTTTACCCCGCAGACAAAAGTACGTCCATGCTCGGGTCACGCATCATGATCGTGTCGGTGTAGGTGAAATGGGTGCTGAGTGTGTTTGTACTCACGTGGACGGGGGCTATACGATTGGAAGCATACCGCCCGGACAACAGCTCGTCCATGAACCTGGGCATTTCCCATCGAGAACGGCGGGAGTTGCTGTTGGCCGAGCCGACGAAACGACTCAAGCGACGGCCGCTGCATTGGGTGCAAGCGTTGCTCGACCGAGTCGTGGTGTCGACGTCCAACATGTCCCTTGACAGGACGCTCGACTGTGTTGTTTTGCAGCTCTCTTACTATCCGCCCATATACTCGGAGGTAACGACCGAGATGGCGCGAGGTCGTCTCACGAAATGCATCAGGCCGTACCCAAGTCCGAACGGTCTGTCCGAGCCATCTGCCACGTGGACTTGGCAGTGATGCCGCATGACAACTACGGTCTCCACGTGATGGTGTACCTTCCTTGCGTGAGCCACACACACTTGATCGTGTTGAGTGACGCCGAAGTCCAAGCCATCGTCGAGTCCCCGTGGCCTTGCACCGACTCCGTTGCTGGCCGGCGGCGCGCCATTCGCGCGATTTTCCAGCTTTGCACATACGATACGAACGAGCGCCTGGTGCGGCTAGAAGCCCCCGGATGCTTTGTCAAGTATGCTACGATGGTCGCGCCTCCCGTCATGTCCCTCGACTCAACATCAGCCCAACCTGCTACACCGCAACGCATCGACGACACTCCTGTCAACCGGCCGTTGTCACCTGCGGACGTCAACTTGCTCGCGAATACAGTGCGCATGCTAGACGAAGGCTCGGACAACCTCGTGTACGTCTACGATGTTGCCCAAACTTTGCACACAGGAACGTACCGGTGCAATGGCACTTTGTTGTCGGCGACACTCACTATGATGCCGATCTTGAAACCCGTGGTCGAACCCAACAAACCAGGTTGCGTTTGAATAGTCGTCCACCATGCCGACGTGTTGCGCGTAGGGTTGCCGGATGTCCACACGTCGGTGAATTCGTTCGTTTTGTCGCTCCGGATTTACAACCCCGAGATGAGCCAGCATTGCGACGTTACCATTGACGGCATGCAAGATTTGCGCGAGGTACGGTCGACAGGGACCTTGGTGGGTTGACGCGATCCGTTGTAGGTGACTGGGCCAGACGAAGCACACCTGATCGGATCCAAGACGGTGCTCCCGTGGCTACACCACGTCATGACGTCGCGGCTGGATCGGACGATCCATCCCGACGGAACATTCACTGTCGTGCTGGTGCGGTCGCGCATGTACTCGGAATACAAAGCGACGCCAGTCTATTCCACCATGGACGAGGACGTGCTGCACAACAAGCACTTGCTCATCGACGACGGTACAAGTCCAGTTTTGCTTCGATCCCGACTCACGATGGTCCCATTCTAGTGGACAAGCGCGGCGTAAAGATCACGTCCAAGGCCAAGCACATTCGTGGCCATGCGGTGATCTGTTCAGCGTTCGATATCACGCTACGTCCACCAGCCGATGGATCCAGCGCTGCCTTCGATCGTGCGCTTCACGTCCACGTCCGCATTGACGGGTATATTGCGACCACGAGCCAGAATCTGTCTGTGTGGGTGCAAGGGGCAGTCTTGATGGAAGCCGTGGGGTCGCACGTGGCCTTGCTAGAGCTGGGCAACGAACGAGCGTTGGCCGAGCATTTATTCGACTTGCTGGACTTGGAAGTATCGACGGCGGACGGCCACCCTTCAACGATATGCCGTTTGTTTATCAAGGAAACCATTGTCCATTTGCCCAAGACAGACGGCACAGACGACGGGATTGCCGCCAACGTCGAGTCGACAACGGCCACCTCCTCCGCACCTTCCCCTTGCTTGTACAAGACGTTTTGCGCCGTGTCGGGGGAGAAAGTTCTCGTGTCGGTGCTGGACACTTCGCACACGACCCCTGCTGTGCCTCTACGCGTGATGCTGTACCAGCCATCATCGAGCTTGACGACGCACGTGGACGTCCCCAGCGACTTTATCGAAAAGGTCGTGCCGTCTGCACGAGCTTCGTGGACTTCCAAAGCTCAAGTACACGCGGCGCTGCGGCAATTGCTGTCGTACCTCAGCGTGACGCGAGTCGAAGACGAATGTGGCACGACCTTGTCTGTCGGGTGGAAAGATCACGACAGCCAAAGCGCTGCCCACACTACGTCCTAAGCAAGAGCGGTCTGGCGGTTGCCACGTTGTAGACTTCCGCCTCTGTTCATGAATAGCTTGTCTGCACGTAATTCAAGCGCATGGCGGATACGACTTAACTCCATCGTCGAAAAGACTCCTCCGTCGTTGGAGAGCTCCGCCTCGAAAATTCTCGGCCCACGGTAATGTGTGTGCTGCCAGAGAGACGCATGGTCAACACGTTCGCTTTGTACATATGTTGTTGCGTGCGAGAATTTCGAGCAAAGCTACACCATCGCACACGGCATCCTGGACGATAGCTGGCCCGTTGGAAAATTACACCTTGTCGACGCAGTCTCCGATTGGCAAACTTGGCATGAACATGTCGCTGCCACTACGAGAATTGTGGGGTCAATGTGAAGTCCACCGCGTCGTTGCCATGACGGGTACGAACCTCAATTTCGTGGGTGAAGCCCCAACGAATATGTTGCTTCGCACTTGGCATTGCCATGGACCGTATTGTGTTTGACGATGGTGGTGATGGACTTGGTCACGCCGCCGTTGGACAAGCGATATGGACCTTTGGCTTCCCGACATCGTGACATGGCTCCTCATGTCGTCATGGTAACGATATTATGATGCATCCTCTCTCGAGAAGGCTCTCTGGGTCGCGTGGGTGCGTGCGTGGCGAAGCCACAACCTCAAAACTTGTCAGTTTGAGTGTGTGCCGGGGGCTTCCACTATTGCACGTCGTCCATATGAGTGACATGTCCATGAGAGCTGTCGAATGGCCAAGCAAGTGAACTCTATCGGGCTGGAAAGACAGACGGATGAACAATGCTAAATTTAGGCAAACTCAACGTTACTCTCTCAACATGAAGGCCGCCATGGCGTCGGCGGCGGTAGTCGTCTCCAGCATCCTACAGTCTACAAGTGCCGTGTCGATATGGGAAGCCCAGTTCATTCCAGAAACCCAACAGGCCATCGTTCACTTGATGAGCTTCAACTTTACCAACGGAGGGTCGTATGCTGTGACGTTGCGTGTCAAGATTCGACCCGCGTCGACGGCCAGCCTTCACTTTGTCGTGTGCAAAGCGACAGCATGGGAGAAGATGCAGTCTCGCGGGTATCCTGAATCGACCACGGCGCTGTGCAAGCGGCGCTTCCACAACTCGACCGTCGTCGTCTTGCATTCGCTCTGTTTCGCCTACCCGATGCTTGGTATAGTGCACTCCATTCCTCAGGACGTGCCATCCCCTGCGACAAGGTACAACACGCCGTGATCACGTTGCCTCGGTTGAATGCGGCAATAGCTACGACGTGGCGCCACCAGACACCGCCTTGATGGCCACTGTCAGCATGGACAACCAGATTCCAACGTTGGCGGACGGCATGCACCACTTTTTCGTCGACGCATGCTCCACGACGTGCTCATCACCCAACGGCTGCTTGAACGACAAGTCCCTGCCGCCCATCCGTGTCACGGCCACCATGTTGTATGCCATGTGCGACGGGCAAAGCCCTCGAACTTGCTCCGGTGGCCGCATGAATCACCTGTTGGCCATCTACATGTCGTACATGGTTGTATGGATCGTCGTTGGCATTGTCTGGACCATCCATGTTTTTCGCAGTTGTGCTCCAATTTTCAAGCTCCACGTAACAATGTCGCTCGCGCTGGTGACCAAGGTAACACCGTTTTGATTCAGCTCTTCATCTTTGAGCCGTGTTGGCCAGGTCGTCGCCATGACAACAACGTCCGCCGTGCTACTCGTGTCGCCGATGAACGATATTCTTGCGCATCTGAACATGGCTGTCACCATGCAATTTGCGGCATCGTGTCTGATGATGGTGACGGTATTTGGGCTGGCCGATGGATGCGAGATCGTTGGGACGCATGGCCGAAGGTTTGTTTGATCTGTCTTGCTTGCTTATAGCATCTTTGCGCAGGTTCACCCTTGCGATCTTGTATATTGGGTACTCGTTCGTTGAGACCGCCGAGCCGTGGAATCCGATTCTCTCCGCTGTCATGGTCGCGTGCGCTCTCTTGACGTACGATGTGAATGGCGCCGACAAGTCCCACTGACGCGAGATGTCATCGTGGTTTGATTAGGATCACGAAGCTGTCCACCACACGCCTCCGTGAGCTCCGCGGATACGCGTACGTCATGCAACTGACGGGGCGAAGCCCGGACGCGTCTCCCCTCGGCACGAAAGTCCACCTCCTCCGAGCGACCCGCACGTACTCGATCCTCTACTTCCTAGAGACATACTGCGTCAAGATTGTACGTTACCTTGTCCCCCCTCCACCCCACTGGATCCTGCACACGGTGTAGATCTTTTTCCTTTTAAACCGGTCGTCGTCGGGCGCCGAAGACGTCATGGTCGAAGCGATCCAACTCTGCTACGTTCTCGTCATGGGCTACACATTTCGGTGTCGACACTTCACTTACGTCGTGACCTCCTCGCGTCTGCAACGACTGTCCTCGACGGTATGCGGCTTTCATCGAGTTCGCGACCTTATGGATTGTACCTGCGCAGGTCGTCCCGATTATTTGTCTCCCCCAGACCTCAGAGGTTGCACCCCCGGCAACCAAACTGACCGTGTTTTTGCATCCCGACAATTCGCAATCCTTTGGGAAACTGGGTCAAGGACCATGTTGTCGTCCAGTACAATAGAACTCTCGTGTCGGTTTTCACTGTCGCGGGACCACGTTCCTATTGGAAGTCGAACGCTTTCATGGGATGCACATCGCTTGTTTGAGGTCGACAGGGGGACGCAGGTGTAGTTGCAGGTTGAGGATGGGCCCTTTGTTGGGCGGCGCGCTGCGGCTGGTAGCGTGGGTCACACAGCAGCAGCATCGAAACATACCCCTGCTCTCTGACACTATTGAATTCGTCTCGGGCACGGACATGAGTCTTAAGTCCACCGCTGTCATCATGCCCCAGAGACAGGTCAAGACGATGGTATAAATAGCCTGTCGATGGGCTGTTGCCACCCGCCTTAACGGACATTGCGTTGGATGTTGTTGCGGGAAGCCGTTGTCATTCTGTGTGCGGCCGCTGCGCACGCCTCAACATGGTGGGAGCGACAGAACTTCGTCGTGGGCGCCGTCAAAATGCTGCCTGTGGTAAGCTACAATTTTTCACGCGAAGGCGGAGCGATGGCGTTCACGTTCAATTCCCGCATGTTCTTCTCGCGTGATGGTCCGGTGCCGGTCTTGCTTGTTTGCAACGATACCGCAATGGCCATGATCCGCGCGCCGCCGCCTGACGTCGCCTCGGACGATGTATGTCGCAACAAGGCATGGCGAAGTCAATGCATCGACTTTGCCTTTACAGCGTACGTCCCACGTTGTGTGGTTGCGTTGCGGTCGTCGGTCTCATCGGGTTCAATAGCGCCACTTCGCCCGCATATGCCCCCTTTTGGCCTCTCCACCACCGCTTGTCTGCTGGCATGTTGGACCGTTTATCGCTGACATCGACCCAGGCGCACTTTGTCTTGGACGTATGCCGTATCGTCCAAAACACGACCGAGGGTGTCGAAGTCACGGTCGATTATTGCATCTGCGATGTATCGACTGGGGATTGCGCTGGCAACAACTACAGTTTGTACCGCACAGTATACGTCATTCACGCGTTGCTGTGGGCTGGGCTGGGTTGGTTGTGGCTGGGCAATCTTCGCCACGGCCCTCGGCAGTTCATTCACGTCCCCCTCACGACTTTTCTCGTCCTTAAGGTTGTCTCCAGTCCTTCGGAACATCGACTTGACTGGCCATCATGGCATGGTAGATGGTCCACACCGCCGTCGTGTGTGTGGCGGTTGATCCATCGTTTGTGGCGGATGAACTCGTGGCCCCGCGAGTCGGTCGAATTGCTGACTACTTGAAGCAGACCGTCGAATGGGTCCATCTCATGGTGGTGTTTGCGCTTGCCGATGGATTTGGCACGTTGTGGCTCAACATTCGAGGGTACCCCTGCTCGTCAGTGTCTGACTGAAGCGTCTCGGTAGATGTCTCTTTTCACTGCCATTCAGTGGGTTTCCCATCGGTGATGCCAACGATGGGTCGTGGAACCCGTTCCTTGCTGTTGTCGCCGTGTCAGCCATCCTCCTCGTGTACGGCACTGTCCGTATACGTTCGTGCCGACGGAGTGTGCAAATATAGGATGCAATCGCTCGCGAGCAGGCGGCACCGGGTTTTGTTTGCCGCGTGGATGGTTTTCTACGATGTCGGCATCGATCCAACGACGACGCCGATCGAGACCAAGAGGCGGCTCCTCCTCCGCTTTGTTCGCATCTCCGCGCTGTACTTTGCAGCGAAGTTTGTGCTCGAATTGGTGTTTTACTGTGAATGGGATTCCCATGTGTGGATGCTCGACGCAGTCCACGAAACCCTTTTGATCGTACAAGCTGTCGCAGTGGGGACGATGTTTCGGTGCCGCGAGTTTCGATACGACGCGGTGTCGCGTACACCGTTTCCTCTGCCTCGCGCACATGTTCCCGAGGTGCGTGCCACGGCACTGCTGCTTGACATATTACCAATCGTAGGACATCGCTGTGGCTCCTGTGGCGACCGAAGCTAGCAAGTTCGTCGTATTCAGCCACCCCGATGGCACCACTGCATACGGCCAACAGTTGCAGCCACGTCAACAAGCACCGCTGTCGGCCAAGGACAACGAAGTCGCTGAGCCGTCGGCCACTCCAGGCATGAGCGACAATGGCGACTCTCGAACTCGTTTGTAAATGAATGTGTTCGCAGTTAAAATATACAAAGCCATAGCGCACGAGGTGCACAATTTTGAAACGTGCAATCAAGTACACCAGTAGATTATTTGGCTTACATGAAAAAGAGTCTATCCCGGTTCCACAAGCTCTGCCATCTTCCAAACGAAATCGGCATCGATCGATCGATGCAGTGGATTCTTTGCACGGCCGCTGGATGCAAGTGCTTTCAACGACATCACCTTCCAGCCACATACCACTGGCGTGGTTGAATCCTCAATCGTCGAGCCGCTGCCGCTTTTGTTGCGAGTATTCCGCTTCTTGTGAGCTAGCACGCATTCAATCAATCCCTAGGCAAGGATCGGATCATCGCGGAGCCTTACTTGGTGGCTTGTGACGGGCCTGTCAGAAACGTCGTGACGGTGGAGAGCACGATTTCAGTTGTAAAATTTGACCCAGTCTCGAGCGATTCCGTGGCCAAGAGGATAGGACTACCGTCGACGGCATCATCATGTCCTCAGTCAATTGTGGCACACGTACGATACCTGCCCCCGCGACTGAAATACAAATTCAGCTCTGGCAGTGCACTGGCGACGCAAAACGCCAGCAACGCCTGGAAGAAACCCAATGTTAATCTCTCGGAAACACGATGCAAGGTCTTGAAACCTTGATCTCTTTCAAGCAAAAGATCAGCTGAATGACTTCACTATCGCAGCCATTGTTGTGGTCGACGAAATCCTGGATCGTACACGAGATGAACTCCGAGTTGTCCACCGCGGTCTCCGTGTGCACATGGTTCTTAACTGGACGCAACATATACACTTTATACTCCACGCGACGACGAAATGAAGAAAAACTTTACCATCCAACGGGTTTGTAAAATAGCTTTCGAACTTGACTTGTGTCGGCGAGCACGACATGCATACTTCATCGGTTCCGTAAATATGCTGCAGTAGAGTCGCCAAGTGAAATGGTCGGAGCTTGATGCTGTGACCATGACGCACCATGAGACGAGATCGACGCGTGGAACTCACCGAGACGGGGAACTCGCCTTGTTAAACACTGGACGCATCGTTTGGCTTTCTGTGAGTCGGATGCGGTGGGTCTTGGTGATCATACGATCGCAATGCAGCTGGAACACAATCACGTTCGCGTCGAAGTGATCGTCGTTCGACGGATGTCCCTCGAGTTCGAGTGCAATGTCTACGGAAATCACGTTCTTTGTCGACTTAAAAATGCCAAGGAGCGTGCTCGCCAACGTTGTGCACTTGACAAGTGGAAGCGAAGGGTCCATGGTAGACAATTCACATCGTCGTAAATCGGGCGGAAGCGTGTACTCGGTGAAAAACAACCTGGTAAATGTGATCTCGGCCGACGCGGAATGCGAGTCATTCAACGCACGAAGCACAAGGGTGTCGGTATAGCACTCGATGCTGATTTCTTTGCCAGCCTTGCTCACAAACTGTAGTCCGCCGACGAGCGTCTTGAGCTTCTCGGCCACGAGTACCGCCCGCACTTCCGTCGTTGTGCACTGGTCCAAGAATCGCGCCATCGCGAGCCCTCTCGGGTTGTAATTATCCGGCCATTTCGGATGTCCAACCCTTGAAATTCGATGATGATATGTCATGCCGTTTTATTCAGTCTAACAGGCTTTTCCGGTCTAACCCCCCAACATTCTTCGCGAGTAATGGCACCCGACTGCCGTGCGCTTGGGGTTGCGCACAACTCCGACAACTTTTCGGGACGATTGCGTCGGAGCGAAGGCTCGTCAGAGCATGGCATGTATGGTGTGCATTTTCCTGTGGTGCTTCCTCGTCAAAACCATGGTGGGTCCTCGCTTCTGGCAAACGGAGGCCCACAATGTGGTACACCAGTGGTCAGGAGGGGAGACATGTCCGAGGCGTTTGAACTCTCCGTTCCGTTGGGACATCTTGGATGGGCATTACAGTCTGCGGCTGTGGTATCGCCCATGCTCTAGCGCTTGACCCAGTGTTCGATCTGGCGCGGCAAACCCCCCACGTCGACTTGGATCTTCAAAGGGCACACAAGCCCATTCGTCGTCGCAGCGAGGCGTTGGTGTGGGACACCATCCTTCGACATTTCACTTGATGTTTGTATGGAGACCACGGGAAAACCCAAATTACTCACACCCAGTTCCAACGTTAAATGGGTCGGGTTTAACGATAAACCAGTGATATTATGTTAAATCGCTTGTTGGAAAGGGTTTAACGCGAAAGGTGATTCGTCGAATGATACGTTGAATCCTTCGTTTTCCGGCGCCCAGTTCGGCTTTCCCACGTTCCTTGCCAGGCACCGTCATGGAGAATCGACGCCCGTCTGTACGTTCGAGCCGCGTCGGATCGCACGTCCGCTTTGAGAATGACTGCGTGACGACCCTCGATGCGTTTCGGTACATCGACCGCGGGTGCCGCGCCGAGGCAGACATGTTTTACAGTGAAGCCATCAACTGCTTCGTGAACGCGGGAGAGTGCTTGCTACTCGTGTCGGAGCGTGACGGTGAAGACATTGCCCCCATGCTTCTCGCCAAGGCCCAAGAAGTCATTGGGTGGGCCGAAAACTTGTCCTTGTGGCTCGAAGGCGGTCGCCAAGGGCCGTTGCCGTCGCGAAAGTGCCGAGGGATCCAAGTCCCGTTTACACAAGAATTTGCGGGTGGCGATCATTACGAGGAAGCTGTCGAGATGAGCTACACCCCCGTGGCGTCTGTGAACCCTATCCACTTCACGTCGGATGGGTACCGTTTGCAGTGCGTTGGCCGCGGGCGTAAACCGACCATGATGATTGTCATCACCATGTACAACGAAGACGCGGAAGAGTTAGCGACGACGTTGCGCAAGGTGTGCAACAACGTGGCAAATATTCAGAAGCAAGCATTGCCAGGGTACAAGGGCGACGATGCGTGGAAGAACATCGTGGTGTGCATCGTTTCTGACGGCAGAACCAAAGCCAACCCGTCCACACTTGCGCTCCTCCGCGATTTCGGTCTCTTCAACGAAGACGTAATGACGATCTTCTCGACGGGCGCTAACACGACCATGCATCTCTTCGAGCGTACGCTGCGTCTTGCCAAGGACAAGAAGCAAGTCAAGCTATACCATCCGTCGGGGTCGTCCAACAAGGCATACCCGCCGCTGCAGGTCCTTTTCGCGCTCAAGGAAGCGAACGCGGGCAAGTTAAATTCGCACTTGTGGTTCTTCAACGCTTTCTGCAACCAAGTGGATCCCGACTACAATGTGCTCTTGGACGTTGGGACGTTGCCGACCAAATCTGCGTTCTACAAGCTCTTGTCTACGTTGGAGATGAAGCCGGATGTAGGCGGCGTCTGCGGTGAGATCGCCGTGAGCCGACCGATCCCAAACTTGTGGAACTTTGTGATTGCGACGCAACACTTCGAGTACAAGGTGTCAAACCTGCTGGACAAAGCGACCGAGTCGTGCTTTGGGTTCGTGTCGGTCTTACCTGGCGCGTTCTCGGCATATCGCTTCTCTGCCATCAAAGGCGCGCCATTGAACGCGTACTTTAAGAGCTTGACCACCGACATGGCGGACCTGGGGCCGTTCTACGGCAACATGTACCTGGCAGAAGATCGCATTTTGTGCTTTGAGCTACTCGCGCGCACGAACGGCGCATGGAAACTCAAGTACATCAAGGACGCGATTGCACGGACGGACGTGCCGTCAACGCTCGTAGACCTGATGAACCAACGCCGCCGGTGGCTGAACGGAAGTTTCTTTGCCATGCTGTACTCGATTGTGCAGTGGGGCCGCTTGTACACGCACACGAACCATTCGATCTTGACCAAGATCGGTTTCCTCATCCAGTATTTTCAGCTCATCATCCAGCTCATGTTTGGCTGGTTCATGGTCGCGACGTTTTACTTGTCCGTGTACTACACGGTCTTTACGAGTCTCAAGAAAAACAAACTCGGGTTTGCCCAGACCGAAGAATGGTACGACGACCACCACTCGATCGCAATGTCTCTCTTCAACATCTTCTACGCGATGCTGATCATGATCCAACTCATCTTTGGCCTCGGGAACAAGCCCCAGCACGTCAAGAATTTGTACACGTTTTTGTGTCTGGCGTACGCCGTCGTCGTCATCGCAGGTGTTTTCTTTGCGTTCGCGTCGATCGCGTCGGGCGGAAACATCTCGCTCTTCAACATTTGCTTGATCATTGCTACCCTCGGCGTGTACTTTGTCGCGGCACTCGTCCATTGCGAACTCCACCACGTCCTGTTTACGATCGTCCAGTACACCGTCATGCTGCCGACCACAATCAACATCTTGATGATATATGCATTCTGCAACTTGCAAGATTTGAGTTGGGGGACCAAGGGGCTCACAGACTCCAGCGGCCACGGCAACCACGGCATGTCGAGTGTGGATAAAGCGAGCTCAGGGAGCTACAAGGACCTCGTAGCTGCCCGCAAGCTCAAGGAAGCTGAGCAAAAGCAGGACGCGAAAAAGGCCAACGAAGTCAAGAAGAACTTTGAAGCGTTCCGGTCCAACCTGCTCATGTTTTGGCTACTCTCGAACGCGGTGCTCATCATTGTGTGCATCTACTTTGTCGGGGCCAACGTATTTTTGCCCACGCTCTTCTTGTTCATTGCCCTCTTCAACATCACGCGCCTGATCGGCTCCATCAGCTTTGTCGTCATGACAGCGTTCGACTTCCTCCTGCTCTGCGTCTGCCTCCGGTCAGGCGGCCTTGAAAAGCGGAGAAATAACCGCGCCGCTGACAACGACGATGACGGCGCGTACGGCCACCTCGGCAGCTCCAAAATCGACGGAGGCAAGCCCTCGGTTGTGTTGAAGTAAAAGATGCGACAACTCGTGTGGCAATTAATTTGAAAACAACTTGCCGTAATCCTCGATCATAGATGTTTGTATAGCCAACCTTGTGTGCTCTGCTGACGTTGAGTTCATACGGCCGTCCGACGTTGCCGAGTTTCCGCGGTGTCGAATTTTTGTATCCAGCAAGGAGTAACGAGTTGCCAGGTATAGGGCTGGACCATGCCATTTACGCCAAGAGTCGCAGACGTTCCTCCACAACTCGCTTTGAAAGGTTTTTTTGTTGCAACGACCTCCAATTGGATTTTCATGGCGGGCGTGGGAGGCGTGGGGCAAGGCAAGGACACTTGCCCCATCAACGTCGACAACGTAGAAAGAATATGTTGGAGAGCAGTCGCGAAAGTTATTTCGGACACTGTGGTCCGTGTTGAAACAGTCACGTCAGTTGAATTCTGTGAGCGCTTTATGGCTCGAGCAACGTAAATGCATCATGTCGTTTTGCTGACAACGGAATGGCAGGTCGAACGCTAGGGCCAGTCCACCTCGGAGGTCGCTGGGAATCGCCTCAACAAGCACACCCGAGATCGTTGGCTTTCCACGCGTTGCATCGTAGTAATGTCGCAAAACCACGGACGCCAATGGAAAAGCGTATCCAAGTGTCGTCATCGACGCCGCCGCGACTTTCGCTTTTTCGCGCGGATAAGGATGCGCGTTGGCACGTCGAGACAAGACCTGGCACGTTTCTCAGAATCGGTCCTTTCCTTCCGCTTAGCTGGTTGCGTCAAAAGAGCCTTCGCGGGGCCATTACGGTGGTACTCGTAAAACGCGTCGAGTGTATAAGCTCAGTATGATTCAGACTCTTTCCTTCAGCGACTTGTCACATTTCCCCTAACCGCAATGCTATGTGGTTGGTTTGTAGGCGCCGCAGCCACACGATACCCGCGACAGACGACCTCGGCACGTGCTCAGGCCACTCGAGTGATGCCATTGGTTGATTCGACGCCAATCCGACGCAAGGCTCGAGAGATCGCCAGGCATCCAATGAGAAGCGCAGGTTTCGTTGATTGGCTACGAACTCACCAATCAAAATACCTCAAAGACGATCCAGGCCAGAGTGGCACACGCACGACCATCGTGGAAGACTGCCACGTCTGCGAAAAACGGAAATCTGGAAAAGTGGGCGGCTAATCGACATTGCGCTCCACTGGCGCACTTCATTGACAGGAAACTGCTGTCCCGGGCGAAATTTTCAGTCGATGCGGTAAGAGGCATTGTGGAATTTGCAGAGTCTGGTTCACCATGCAAGACTCAACGTTTTGCCCTCTCAACACTCCCAAGGTCAACTCGATCGAAACTGACTCGGCCCCTGAGATATCAACGAAGATTGTGGCCAAGACGCACTTTGGGTGGGTCCTCGGACACTGGTTTGTTGGTCTGTGCCTCTTCATGGCGACGTGGACGCCGTTCATGTACTTTCTCCCGTTCTACACTGATAAAATCTCGAACCCTATTACCATCTGGTGGGGAGGCGATCCCAAAGTGCGCAGCAGTGGCCACAGAGAGATGGTGAGGCCCACCTTCTTCTTTCTTGGCATGGTTCTCCCCGTCCTCGTCGGAGCAGTCGTGTTTGCCATCATCCGAACCAAGTCCCCCATCGTCGTCCCACCCTTTTCCCATTTATTACATCGCAAGCCCCTGGTATTTCGCGGTCTTATCAGCTACGGCGAGATTCTCTTCCTCATTATCGTGCTCGGCGGCAACGCTATCATTTTCTACTTCCGATGGGCTAGACGGTACAAGCCGGGCAAGAGTACGAACTTGAACATCCTTTCCATCATTGGAACCACCTTGGGGTTCAACGGTCTTTTCAACATGGTACGCTTACATAAGACCTTACAGAACTGACGTCTACGCAGACGTTTTTGGCGTTGCCCGCATCTCGCCATTGCTTTTGGATGGAATGGCTAAACATCCCGTACGCCCATGGTGTCAAGTACCATCGCTGGCTCGGTGTCGTTACGATTGTCATGATCGCTGGCCACACTGTGGTCTACTTTGTCGTGTACGGCATCCGCAACGAGCTACATGACCTCCTTCCATGCTTTGACTGCAACGTGGCCAAGGAAGGGTTCGACAACTGGATGAACTTTTTCGGGATCCTGTCCTTCCTCGCCATGGCCATCATGGGCGCCACTTCGCTGCCGTTCGTTCGCCGCAAGTACTACAACGTGTTCTACACGACGCACTTCCTCTTTATCCCTGCCACTATCTTTGCTGTCCTCCACTGGGGGCCCATCCTTTACTGGCTCTACGCCACCATTGTGCTTTACCTGGTCAACCGCATGTTCTCGTCCGCGTCCATTTCGGCGCCTGTCACGATCGAGCGCGCCATCGCCATGCCTGCCGAGGTCGTCGAACTCACACTGCACTGCACGACGGGGTACAGTCCCGGCGACGTCGTCTGGCTCAAAGTCCCCGCTCTGTCCAACACCCAGTGGCACCCCATCAGTGTCGCATCTACTCCGCTGCAAGCACCGGGCCTCCTCACTGTCTACGTAAAATGCCTCGGCAGGTGGTCTAACGGCCTGTACCACTACGTTCGCTACTGCCACTCCGTTGGTCTCCCGCCGGTGGTGTACATGGACGGAGGGTACACGTCGGCGGCGCCGATCTCGTCGTCGTACTCTGACGTTGTGTTTGTTGGTGGAGGCATCGGGGTAACCCCCCTTATGGGCCAGCTCCTTCACATTTTGCACACGAACCCTCGCCAAACGGTGTGGCTAATTTGGCACGTTCGGCGATCGGCGATGCTGCTTCAGTTCCAAGCGTGGTTGCGCGAGATGGAAGCGTTGAGCGAAGCGAATGGCGGTCGCGTACACCTCCGCTTGCATGTGACACAGGAGCACACAACGTCTCTGAATGTGGAAGACGACGATGGAATCGGCGGCGTCGCGACCTTTGACGCCACCTCAACCGTCGCCAACGTCGAGTCTCGTCCGTATGCACACTTGAACACAACCAAGCGAATGTGGATCTTGCTGCTTGCGTTTGCCTTCAGTGGGAGTCTCGCGGTGCTTCTCTTGTACGGTAACAAGATCTCTGCCATCAACCGCAGCTACTGGCCGCTGCAGCGCCTTGCCGAATTTTGCGTGGTCGTCGCTGGGAGCTACATGGCGTACATTGTCACGTACGTCGCCAAGACACAGTCTCCAATCCCCGTTGCCAACCAAGTGGATGGTGCCCCCAAGCTCGGCAAGGAACTCGACACACCTGCGTTTGTGGCACACTACAACGTGCAGTTTGAACGCGCGAATTGGGCAGAGGTGTTTGCTGAGATCGAAGCGCAAACGGCCAAGGACGCCGTTGTCGGGGTGTACATCTCCGGTCCAAAGGCCCTCGTCCGAGCTGTGGACGGTCAAATCCAAGGTCAAGCAAAGTTCCACGTCCACAACGAAGAGTTTGACATGTAAAAAAGACGATGTAAAGTGTCCATGAATGTCCAAGTCATGATGTGTGTTTGGATCGTTCCTCATCTGCACGCGCTACCTCGATAACGCGTTGCACTTCATGGGCACGATGTCGGTGGCAACTCTCCCGTTGGACACCGAGGAACGTAGTCACTACCGCTCACACGGTTGCGATGCGTTCCATCGTGTGAACGGTTCCATGGGGGAATAGGCGGATCGACGCATTCATGACAGCCACCCGATTCAGCTCCACGCGTCGTCCGAGCTACGTTTTAGTTGCTGTCCAGTGCGTGATGCATCACTTTGGCATGAGCAGTACCTCGCGCGACACAAGACTTCTTGCCATGGAGAATGCACTGTGCTTGACTTTACAGATCCCCACTACATCTCGAACACTTCGTGACGAATGTGAAATGTTGAAATGCCTTGGCCGTGGGCGTCCACCGCTTGACTCAATGTCTTGGGACCCGACACGTACACGCCCACTGTCGCCGTTGCCGTGGCTTGGATTTCTTGAAACAACGCAGCAAGGTTTGACCGGCCAGACTGCGCGGAGAAGTGGTGGGCGGCGCCGTCGTCCGTGTTCAACGGCACTTCAGTGGAAGGAAGCGCCAAAGGTTGTCGCCCACAAACACACTTGGCGACAACGTGCGCGAAGACAGCCCCCAACAACACCACGAAGTACTGAACGATCCGCTGGACAATCCAATACTTGGCGGGGACCCGCTGGATGTAGCTGCCGTATGTCACAGCCACCAAGAGACCGCCGCTAAAACCAAATGCCAGCAGCAGCATCACCACTCGCGCGTCGGTTCTCAAGTGTACGTATGGGCGCGGCTGCACTGTTGTTGCGTCCGCGTTTGTATGGTGAAGCACTTTGGTGTTCTTTGTGTCGATCTCGAAATCCGTCACGTCGTCCTGAGTCACGAATAAACGAATCTTCAGTCGGTTTCCACCAACAGTCTCAATTCGATGCAGCCAGGATTGGAAGCACACAAGCATGTCCTTGTGACGGACGTTCCAGATGAGCCACGCGTTTTGGGTAGGACGACTAAGCAGCACATGCATGAGCTGGCCCATCAATGGCGTGATCCCGATGCCTCCTCCAACAAACACCACGTCCGAGTGGGAGGCGGGGATGGGGGCTGTAGGCGTGTA